ATGCAGTGGTAAGTATCGATCAACATAGCTTAGCAAGATCTAGCAGAAAATATCAGAATTTCAGTAGAAGCAATTGAGCTTGAATGCTGTCTGAACTCATATTGAAACAAAACAAATGACAGCTGACAATTCTCATTTGTTTTTCAAATGCAGAATAAATTAATGTATTTGACATTGAAATTAAAAGCTGCATGCCTCCAGATGAGCCAAAATATTTCAAGAAAATCAAACTTGAGAAAAATATACTAAGATTTTAAGAGAAGTAAAATTGATTCAAGTAATAATTTACATGTTTTCCGTGCTTTATGGCTGATTATGCATTATTTATCACCATATTCCTACTGTGGACTACCACAGTAAATGCCTTTTTGCATATTTTGACCTTTTTTGGTAATTTACGCGGATTTTAAGTGCTCTTTGCAACATGTAAATTACTTTCTTAAACAAGGGTGCCATAGTCACAAAATACGCCCGTTTACGAAAGCTTTAGATGGAGATGGGGGCATTATGGATAAGTGTTATCTAGCAAGCAAGTTTTTATCCTTGGCACAGCCGCACTGTGTTGTTAAATGAACCTTAAAACAAATCAGTAGGGAAGATAACAAGAGCTGTCGGTAGGACAGCATGCTCGACTATTCTTAGTGCTTGATAGTAAAAAAAATGCCTGATACAGTTACCTCCTCCTGTTTACAGGTTGGGGTCATGATGGTGAACAAGTGTGCAAAGTTTCAAAGCCATATGTCAATGGACTTTGAAAATATTTGAACTATTACAAAAACTTTAACGTAAATTCTAAGTCGAAAAAGGGGCATAATTCTGTCAAAATGTTGATAGAGTTACCTCCTCCTGTTTACAGGTTGGGGTCATGATGTTGAACAAGTGTGCAAAGTTTCAAAGCCATATGTCAATGGACTTTGAAAATATTTGAACTATTACAAAAACTTTAATGTAAATTCTAAGTCGAAAAAGGGGCATAATTCTGTCAAAATGCTTAATAGAGTTACCTCCTGCTGTCTACAGGTTGGGGTCATGATGTTGAACAAGTGTGCAAAGTTTCAAAGCCATATGTCAATGGACTTTGAAAATATTTGAACTATTACAAAAACTTTAACGTAAATTCTAAGTCGAAAAAGGGGCATAATTCTGTCAAAATGCTTGATAGAGTTACCTCCTCCTGTCTACAGGTTGGGGTCATGATGGTGAACAAGTGTGCAAAGTTTCAAAGCCATATGTCAATGGACTTTGAAAATATTTGAACTATTACAAAAACTTTAACGTAAATTCTAAGTCGAAAAAGGGGCATAATTCTGTCAAAATGCTTGATAGAGTTACCTCCTCCTGTCTACAGGTTGGGGTCATGATGGTGAACAAGTGTGCAAAGTTTCAAAGCCATATGTCAATGGACTTTGAAAATATTTGAACAATTACAAAAACTTTAACGTAAATTCTAAGTCGAAAAAGGGGCATAATTCTGTCAAAATACTTGATAGAGTTACCTCCTCCTGTCTACAGGTTGGGGTCATGATGGTGAACAAGTGTGCAAAGTTTCAAAGCCATATGTCAATGGACTTTGAAAATATTTGAACTATTACAAAAACTTTAACGTAAATTCTAAGTCGAAAAAAGGGGCATAATTCTGTCAAAATGCTTGATAGAGTTACCTCCTCCTGTCTACAGGTTGGGGTCATGATGGTGAACAAGTGTGCAAAGTTTCAAAGCCATATGTCAATGGACTTTGAAAATATTTGAACTATTACAAAAACTTTAACATAAGTGGTTACGCCGACGCCGACGCTCGGGTGACTGCAATAGCTCTACTTATTCTTATCGAATAGTCGAGCTAAAAAGTACATGTAATTGTAATTTAATAACTAAAAAATTCTGATTTAAGATTTTATTCTAGGGAAATACATTTCATTACAATTCTTAATCTTTGAATGAGCTGAACTGATATTTACTTGAAAATTAAAATATAATTAAATTTCTATGAGAAAGTATTTACATTTGATTAGGTAATTACTGTATGATCTTTATGAACAAATACCAAGTCTACAGAACACCATAGTTATCACAGTTAAGAATCTTGACGCAATGAATGAAACATGTGTAAATAAATGTTTACATTCTTTAGAACATACTCAAGTCCAAGAAAGAGGATTATTTTATGCCCTTTGATTAAATTCTATTTTTAGAATTGAAAGTGAAAGTAGATCAAGGGGAGTAATTGTGCAAGTCATTTATGAACAAAGTAATAACTTTTGTTTGTTGCCCTTTGATTAAATTCTATTTACAAAATCTGGATATTTTATCATCTTTAGTGACCTTGACCTGTATATATTGACCTAAATTATATGTATCACAGCCATAGTCTTGATAATGACCATTTGTGTTACAATCCCTCAATAAATGATGACTAAATGGTCCATATACACATCTTCATATTTTTATCTGAACTTTGACCTCTATGTGTGACCTTGACTTTGGCCGCAAGGACCTGAATCTTGCACGCGACACTCCGCCTCACAATGGTGAACATTTGTGGCCAAGTAATATTGAAATCCCCTCTATACATGTGGAAGTTTTGCTCCCGGACAAGCATTTTTCAATGACCTCTAAGTGTGACCTTGACCTTTGACCTAGAGACCTGGTTCATGTGCGCGACACTGCTCCTCATAGTGGTGAACATTTCTATGAAGTTTCATTAAAATCCCTCCATACATGTAGGAGATATGCTCCGGACAAAATTGGACGCCGCCCGCCCGCCAGGGGCGTTCCCATAATACGTCCCGTTTTTCAAACGGGCGTATAACAATAATAAATGATCATAAAAAGCTTCAGTAACAATAAATCAATACTAGTTTAATTGTTAGTTCTATTTAATCTGTACAATGCAGTTCAAGCAGACCTTGAAAACAGTTATGTAAAATAAATAACTTTCAAAATTAGCAAGTATGAATACACTTATGTTGTGTATATTAAAGTTATGTACCGTGTTCTATGGCATTCACTCTTCTATTTGTGATTTTGATGACTTCATCTAAAGTAACAAAGGAAGTTTGTAAAGATGCTAGCTGTACAAGCAGCTCTACTGCTTTAGCATAGTTCTTCTTTAACTTATCAATTTGTTGACCACCTCTAGACAAACCTGTCAATTCGTAGCCTGAAATAAGAAAATATCAGTTAAGAATTTAAATATTAAACATTTTGTTGACATATTACTTACATGTTAACTGCATAACAATTTACATGTAGTATGATTACATCTTTCTTATTTTTCTCAAATGTACTTCTTGTATACAAACCAATTGTTTTTTGTATTGTACATTAATGTGTCAAGGCAATCGGTGGCATTTGGCCTACATCACAAAATAAATGAGTGGAGTTGAGAAGAACTTGTGAAAACAGAATCAATTAGAAGTTGATAACATGAACATACAAATTTCTATAGTGTATGTTACAAAGTCACTGATACTAAAATTGACATTATAGGTATCAAACTTACAAAAGAAAAGAAGAAGAAATCTTATATTCTTAGAAGAATGCAAGTCCCTCTAAAATCATTAATCATCCTTTTATATACATGTATACAGCCAAGAAAATGTAATCTAATTAGGTTTAAAATATACATAGTTCACTTTTGGAGTGACTAATTGAAACTTACTGTCAACACCATCTGTGTAATGTTCAAATACAGGTAGCTGTACACCTGTAATGAAAATAAACCTTGTATACCAACAATGTACAAATCAAAATAAATTATAAGTTGACACTGATCAACAGAAATAATTAACAAGAATGCAAAATTTCTTGTGAATTATAGTTTCTTATAAGTTATCATTAAAGGTAAACTACATGTTTGAACCTTGTTCTAAACGGCAGCATCATCAGTCTTCTATTTGTGATTTTGACATTCAATGATATTGGTTGTTTCTTTAGTTGAGCTAGACACCAATAAAATTAGTATTTCAGTCAAATATCTACAGGCTGTTCCTGGATGATGTACCAGTATTGACTTATTTTTCCAATTCGTAATTGACATTTTCTTGGACGACAATATGATCTTGTTTTAGGCAAACAAATAATCATGTATAAACATGTACAAAACTCAGAACGTTCAGTTAAAGTGTTATGCTCTCTATACTGTGCTAATTAAGAAGGCTTTATAGCAATTGAGAGGAATCTATATAAAGCTATAATATGTGTACATGTACAGTCAACTTTCACCTTAAACTGTCACATCATGGTATAAAGTTAACGCATAATCTAACCTGCAACATTGTCTTTCTTTGATCGTACTTTCAGCTGAGCTTTGTTGACATTTTGTAGAACAGCATGATTGAAGTCTCCTGAGGTAAACTTGGCCTCTGCTAGTGAGAAAACTGATTCCTTCATAACATCCCCCATCTTCATCTTTGTCTATAACAACAAAAACAACCATAATAACAAAATTATAGAACAAATAAAATTACTGACAAATTTATGTAATATCATTCAAGTTAGAAAAGAAGCTTAAGACTATTATATTTATTCTGTTTAAGACAACAACCTATTAAAATTTTCTGACAAATGTTTTTTGGTTTAAGGCAATAAATTTAATTTTTGTATCTTTTGTTTGAGATTTAAATATAAATGTGTTTCCCAAAGTTTGAAAAAATCTTATGCATGGTTCTTGTGTCACTATGAAATGTTGCTGTATTAAGGCAGAATCCTTAAATTTCTTTGACATATTGTCATACAATGAACAACACACATGTCAGTTAATATTGTCAAAAGATCACCATAAGCTTGCTGTGTGAAAAGGTCATTTTAAACAAAGCTCATCAGTGTGACTGTGTCTACAGTTACAGAGTTAAGTTTACCTCTATAATTTTTTTTAGAATCTGTCGGAATCTCATAGTTAATGCATCAGCTTTTTTCTTCAGTAAACTATGACCTTTCTGAGCTCCCTTCAACCTCTGCTTCATGTTTGCCATAGCCCTGGAAAAATAATCAATATTGTATACAATTAGTATGCATCATCCAAACTGATTATCAGAATATGTACTTAATTAGTGATAGTAACAGGAATCAGCCTATTTCAATTCTCTTGGGCTTGTTTCTAGACCTTAAAGGAATTCCATTGAGGTTCAAAAGTCTTAAAACATAAAAATTTGAAATTCTTAGTTACATAGACCAACTGTAAAAAAGTGTAATACAAAAATGGAAAATATGCAAACTATTATAAAAATACTCACTCATAATTAAATTGAAATAATTCTTTATGCAATTCTTTGCCAGATTTTAGTTAAAACCAATTAAAATTTAAACCATTTCCTTTAAATATTTTAAGTTATTTATGTAAAAAAACCTCAGTAGACTCTTAAATTTTATTGACCTTTGGAGTCTGCGTGTTCAAACAGATTTCTACACATCTTCGATGACTTCAACCTTCTGTCCTTTATTATCATTTCACATGAAAATTATTTTAAAACCCATCCAGGTATGAATCAGCTATTGACTAGAAATGCACAGTAAATACTGTAATGCATTTTTATGCAAAATGTCCTTTCAAGTTGAGCGTGACCTTGACCTTTGAGCTACAAATGTGGGTCTCCTGTTTGAAACATGAGCCAAATAATAAAAGTTCATAATTTCAAAATTTATCTACAAATGACAAAGATAACAACCAGACACAATCATACATTCACAATCATAACATGACTTTACAGGAGTAATAAAATGTGACCAACAACTGGAGATTAGTGCTGCAGTATCTTTTCATCCAATCAGCCAAATTTGCCGCTATATGTTGATAAAATATTTGGAAAAAAAGGGTTTTTCTTTTTAGTACATAGTAAATATTGTTTATAACTGAAATATAAACTAACAAGCATAATATGGGGAAGTCAAAGACCACAACTGCAAAGCTTTGGCTTGCCAGGCACCTATAGACTACACATGAATATTCAAAAGGAAATCAAACAAAAAACAATAAAAAAATCTATCAATGAAATTTTGAGTGTATCTAGTTGGGCGCTGACATTTTCAATGTAACTCAATGTTGAATGATATAAAAAGGCGGGGTATTCTGACAACAACAAAAACAAAACTTTTTGGCTTAATAGTTATCTTCGAGTTGTTCCTATCAAAGGGGTGCATGAAATAACGAATGAAACCTTTAAAACTGAAAATAACAAATGAACAATTATTTTTATCAACTTGCCTGTTCATAGGACTTGGTTAATTTCATATTATCTCAACAGTCTGTTTGTACCCAGGGCTCTACAAATTTTTTTGGAATAGAGTTGTCCAGGACAACTGACCTAGAAAAATAGAGTTGTCCCAAAATTGACCACAAGTGTCCAAGTCTCGGTAAATGTTCAGTATGCGTAGTATGTATATCCAAAGAAGAAGTAAAAACAATTAATTTTTTAATATTTTTAAGTTACATTAAGTATTTCATTTAGTATAAAATAGAACATTTTATTTCAACTGAAATAATTTTGATTGTTCAGCACTCTTCCCAGGTACCTTTCAACACTGTTCAAGTTCAATAGCCTGTGTAGGCCTATATGTTTTGTTTCAGTTTTATTTTATTTTCCTGAATTTTCATCCTTGATCTTGAAAATTTAAGTAAAATTATTCTAACATGAATCTAGTTAGCCAAAGCCTCTCTCAGTTTCCACATTTCACAATGGACATGGGAAAGAAGAAAAAGACAGTCATTATTACCCGGTAGGGAAATATAAAATATGATAGTGAATTAGACTATTCAAATACTTATAAATTTCATCAATATTTATCTTAACATTGTCAAAAGTCCTTTCGATTCATAAATGACAAAAGATTTTTAATATTTCTACTTGCTGTAGAGCTTTAAACTGATTAAAACTGCCTCACGATTTATATAAAACTAGAAATGTGTCCATAGGACACGGATGCCCCCACACACCACTGTTCTGTCAATCTTATGACTCTAGGTCAAATATTTTTTGGACTACATGTGCCACAAGTTGAAAACTAAAAACAACAAAGGGCCATAATTCTGTTAAACTTGGTCGCAGCAAAAATTCCTACCTTTACTACCATCTACACATTAAGGTTGTTAATCCCTGGAAGTTTAAGCAAAATCTGCCATCTGGTTTAAGAGGAGTTGCAATCACAAAATTTCTACATAGTATATAATGAAAAAAACAACAAAGGGCCATAATTCTGTTAAATTTGGTTGCAGCGAAAATTCCTTCCTTTACTGCCATCTACACATAAAGGTTGTTCATCCTTGGAAGTTTAAGCAAAATCTGCCATCCGGTTTAAGAGGAGTTGCATTCACAAAATTTCTATATAGTATATAGTGAAAAAATCAACAAAGGGCCATAATTCTGTAAAGTTTGGTCGCAGCAAAAATTCCTTCCTTTACTCCCATCTTCACCTTAAGGTTGTTCATCCCTGTAAGTTTAAGCAAAATCTGCCATGCGGTTTAAGAGGAGTTGCATTCACAAAATTTCTACATAGTATATAGTGAAAAAATCAACAAAGGGCCATAATTCTGTTAAATTTGGTCGCAGCAAAAATTCCTTCCTTTACTACCATCTACACATTAAGGTTGTTCATCCCTGTAAGTTTGAGCAAAATCTGCCATGCCGTTTAAGAGGAGTTGCGTTCACAAAATTTCTTCATAGTATCTAGTGAAAAAATCAACAAAGGGCCATAATTCTGTTAAATTTGGTCGCAGCGAAAATTCCTTCCTTTACTACCATCTACACATTAAGGTTGTTCATCCCTGTAAGTTTAAGCAAAATCTGCCATCCGGTTTAAGAGGAGTTGCGTTCACAAGATTTCGGGACGTACGGACGGACTGACGGACGGACTGACACTCGGACGGACAAGTGCAACGCTATATGCTCCCACTCTGTGGGGGCATAAAAATCGGCATCGCGAAAATATGTGACAAATGAAATTTTTTTCTGTTTTCCTCATAAATTATACTATTTTGACTATTGTATGTTCGAATGCGTTCATAATAGATGCTTTTTGGATATTTTAATATTGTTTTCCACTTAGGAATTTCATCAAAAAGCCTAAAACAAAAAATTCCAAATTTTCAATTCACGGCACAAATTACTGTCTGCTTCAAAGACCAAGTCTGTGACTTAATAATGTTTTGGACATGTCTATAATAATGTTGGACTTTGTCTTTAAGATTTTATCAAACATTTAGTGTCTTATCTATTTTTATTGCCTGTGGCAATGTTAAATTCAATCAGCGTAGCAACTGCTGAGATTGATTGCCTCAAGCGAAGATTACCGGCGCACCATGCTGTGAAGGGTCGTATTAATATACATAATTTTACAGTTGTCCAAGATAAGCATCTGTCAAAATTTGACTTGTCCGGGACTAACTTTCTGCTTATTGTCAGTTGTCCCAAGTGGTTTTAGAGTTGTCCCGGACGTCGGACTATAACTAAGTATAAGATTTGTAGAGCCCTGGTACCTAAATTGTCTTTACATGGCATCTTTATTCATATATTATAATGTATTTTTTTATACATTTTGTTACAACATTATTATGTTATGTAAACACTATGCTTATCAATTCACTGACTGTCAATCAGGCGCCTACATGCTGTAATCTAATTAATTTGGCGTGAAGTATTAGACCTGTATGACAGACTGTTTTTTCATATTGTCAAATCGTAAGAAAAAGCCATCGCCCGTCCAAAATTCTCTTGATGTCTCTTTGACAAGTCTATTTATTTTGAGTGCTTATCCAGTGGGTAGTTGGTATAGATTCTAATTTAGCAGTCCAGACTCCAGAACAAAATGGGGATGCATACATGTCTCAGATGCAAAGGAGTTTTAAACTTGAAACACCTATAGGGTTAACGTTTGTCGAACTAAGCTTCCATTAAATTCTTTGGTTTAAACAACATTTATTTCTTCTTCCATATTAAAAAAAACAAAATTACAATATCCCGGGACAACCAATATTCAATCAGTTAAGCTGTTTTTAGCCAATAATAAATGGAAGGGGAAATTATACTTTAAATTTATTTTAGCTATTAATGCATCTATTAACACTTATTCATTTTCAGGTTGGTACATTTTCAACAAGTCTTGATCTTTCTTAGAAATTCAATAAAAACAATATGACCCACTCTGGTTACTCCCAGGAATATTTTAACCTAAATTCAAACAGCAGGGTAATCACCATGGAAAATTTGTTAAAGATAAATCAGGGCTACTAAAAATTGTAGAAAACTTCACAATAGTCTATTCAACAATTTTCAACATTTTTTTCAAGATTTTAAAAAACTTACACTAAATGTTACAACATGTGTACAGCACAATGCATTGGTATGACTACTGTTAATGTGTTTAAAAAGGCAGTTAAAGGTGTCACTTCTTAGTACGCTATTTGGGGTGCAAAATGATAAATGCATCCAATCTTTACAGCCATTTTACCTTCCCCACTTTAAAATATTAGCAAATATGGAAACTTGTCTAGATCTGCCAGCTGGTATCGCTTACAAAACAATTATTCTACAATCATCACATGAAAAAAATTGATAACAATATAAGATTTTATTAATAAGGACCCCTGTGTAAGTCTGATGAATATTTAGTGGTACATCATATAAATAAATGTTTTAAATACACCTTGGACTGAGGTAAATGGTAAAACTCTTTTGCCAATACTTTATAAAAAAATTAACTTGCTTAGAAAAAATTTTACCACTATTTTAAACAAGTGACTATATTGATATAGTGAAAGTTGGACAATTTATATTGTGTCACTTAAAACAAACAGTTTCTTATTGTTTTTCTGAAAACATCTGACAATTAATCAAGTGTGGCATTTCTGCAAGTTTTGAAGTTAATACAACATGTGACTTTATGCAATTTAGTCAGGCATGACATCCGTGCCACAGAATTAAGAATGTGTTTGAATTTAGGTTGTGATTGAAAATTGGTTGTTTCGGGATACATAAAATTTATTGAACCCAGGGTTGAGTAGACAGGGTAGTCAGACTATTCTCTCCCTTACCAGTTCCTCCCCTGACGTTTCCTCCCTGATGGTTCTCTCCCTATTTTGGGGGAGAACTGTCTGCATATTTGCAAATAAGCAGACAGTTCCTCCCCATCTTTATTTTTATTAATACATTATTATTGAAGTATTTAGATGTTTAATAAATGGATAAGTTTATTATTAAATTATAATATTAATTGATATAAATTAGAGAAAAAAATATTTAATTGGAGTATTTAGATGTTTAATACATGGGCATGTTAATGATTAATTGATATAGATTAGATTAAAAAAAATATTTTTAGCATATTAGTATATTATTCTGATTTTTTTTAATAGATATCTAACTTATACTTTTTAATGCGTTTTAATTTACTTGCTTAGGATAATCATTCGATATTTATTATTTGGTGAGGTTTTTTTTTTTTTTTTAATAAATAAGAAAAAAAATTATAAGAAAAAGATGATTTATTAATTTTAATTGCTAAATTTTGCTAAATTTCATTTCATACTTTTGCATAATGAAGAAAGGAGTCCAATACACATGTGTCAAGTTTGCTGCCGGAGATAATTAAGGTGTTTATTAATTCATTATTCAAGAATAAAGGTGTAATCTAATGATTAAAATAACTGTGAAAAGGTGTTGATAAACAAATATTTTTATTAGTTATTTGGTAATATATATTGTTTCATGTTAATGACTTCATGTTCTTTAATCAATTTTGTATAAAAGTAAATGTGAATTTTATGTGATTGCATACCAATTATTGCTTATTTATTTTCTATTACATACTTGTTACCACCTTATTCGCTATTTAACAAATGAATGAATATCACTAGACCTTCACATTATTACAGGTGTATGTATATCAATCACTGTCCAATAATCTTAACCTCTCACAATGAAGGTGTTAATAGGATTAAAATATCTGAAAAAGGTGTTAAATTTACAAACACTTTTCAGAATCAAATAAACATAAAATGCACTTTACTTAATATCAAATACATTCTTTTAATAATCTACAAGAAATATTATTTGATTAAGTAAAAACTAAAATGATAACTAACAAAATAAAAATGGGGGGAGAACTGTCTGCATATTTCAAATTTGGGAGGAAACCGTTTGGGAGAGAACCGTCAGGGAGAGGAACTGGTAAGGGAGAGAATAGTCTGTCATTCAGTAGACAGTAGAAAGCTCAAGTTAAAGCTCAGTCCTGAATTAATTATTTGAATCTAGACAAATAAAGCACTCTACTTGGTTGATGATACAAGATAGCAAACAAAAAGTTTCATCATTAAACTTACATACGACTTGGAAACACATTTAATCTATCTGATGACATTTTGACGTTTCTTTAAAAATTACCGGAAATAGAAATGATAATCATGTGAGACACTCTTTTTATCTTCAAAGAAGAGTTCCTGAAGGGCATCGTAAAATTTTAATCATTTTCCTGACAGAATCACAGCATGTCAGTTGTATGTTTTATTTTTATTTACTACCAAGATGTATGGAGAAACATAACAAGCTATATGTGTTAAATACGTACAATTTTCTAAAGCAAATAATTGAAAGTTATTAGTTTTCGCGATAGATTTTTAAATTCGCACCTTATTTAGGTCAGATACTCGTATTAATTTTCCATAGGCTTACATTATAAGAAATGACCTCAAAACAGACCTTAAAATTGAGTTTTCATCATAGAGATGTCATTTTTCTGGGAGAATGACATGCCTGACACATAAAACTCATCTCGTTATATAGGGGTAGCCGACCAAATTTTTCGTAAAATGACTTCAAAGAGGATTACCCCCCCTTTACACTGTAATTCACTGCTGATCACAGGACTGACATATACTTTTTTAAAATGTAAATATCAGAGTAAAAAATTATCCTACAGACTTACAAAATACTTCATTTTTTTCAGAAAACAATGTACTGTTAGTTTCGAGAATAGTTTTTATACTTATACACAATACCTTCTCGTCCAATCACCTAATGTCCCATTGAATCTTACGGTTTTCCCTGCACTTTTTTTAGCCAATCGCTGGCCATGTAACAATACGTTACCCTGACCTAAAGGCATATTTTATTTGTACAATATAGAATTATTTTGTATTATTTAATAAGAATAAAGTATATCAAATATAAATGTGTTCACTTTTTGTATTTCAAATAAGATTTGAGAAGATGGTAGCCATTTCACTATAAGGCATGTAATGCCATAAAGACCATGAAAATAGAGTTAAATAGAAAAAAATACCCCAAAAAGTACTATGATAAATCTTCATTATTTCTGTTTTAAATGGAATGACTCCTCATTTCAAATAATACATATATATATTGGTAAGTCTTCAACATATGTTCAAAATATTTATTCAATCAATCTTATTTTAGTAAGAATAGGGGTAGTTTTTGTACCCCACCCACATATTTGAAGGTGAAAACTGAAAAATCTTTGTTTTCTAAACCTGTAAAAGCAATGATTGATACTAAAATAGTAAAAAAACTCTGCAAAATGATGTTTAACACATAATAAGTATATGCATATGGGTCTTTGATAAAAGTGACCCTCTTAAATGACACATTTAATCACCAATTAGCCCTTCTCCAAAGCCCAACTAAATTGTCTATATCAGACTCCCAATCTAATATACATCTGCAAGATACTATACATGACTCACATATGGTCATCTTACACACTTATATATACCTGGCTTATCTAAGAAATTTCTGTATAGTAAAATTACTGGGACAAAATTGTTCATTTTATACTTTATGCTGCTAAAATTGTGTGAAAATTGGATAAAAATATGGGAAAAATCAATTTTAAAACATGCAAAACCAGATTTGCAAAGGGTAATAATCACTCACCACGTACCGGTGGATTTAATTCAGGCACAGGGACAATTAAATATGTCAGACTTGAAAAAAAATTGAAGACTCTTGTACAGACGAACCCTCTATTACCCAAGGCGACATCTTCAGCCGAGAACTCTGACCAGGAGCCCGTAAATTACAAACTCCTTCGAAGTCCTCCCAAAGACGATGTGAAACTTCAATTTATGTCGGACGATGCACAGAATCAAAGGTAAGACTTATTCCGCAATCAGATATGATATTAAAAGTATCAAAAATGCATATATATATTTGAATTGTTGCAGTCTATATCACACTTTTAGCCATTTATTGGTGATTTTCTCACAAATTTTAGCTATAAAACTTAAAAAATTAATCATTTATACATTTAATCTATATCTTATTGGTAATATTAAGGTATCAATGCAGAAAATGATAAATAAAAATGAATTTTAAACATTTTTTACCATTAAAAACACAGTTCAGAGCCTGACACTTTGGTGTCTCTAAAGCAAAGGGAGACAACTCAAAAAAGGGCACATATAATAAAAAAACCCAAGTAAATATGTTACTGTATTTTTTTGGTTCCTTTGATTTTGCAAAATTGATACATTACAATATGTTTGATAAGTATATATCATTTTCAGTGACAAAAATGACTGCTACAAGCTGTTTCATATCAGCAAACTGTGGGAAATGGTCAATGAAGTCAGTCGTGAACATAGGCAAAAGAAACCAGACTGTCAAGGAAATCTTTGCTTTGATTCATCTTCGTCCATGCAGTGGGGCTTCGGATGGCGTGAAAGTGCAAAGTGCCAGATCTGTACCTATGTTTCGAAACGATATAAGCTTTACGCCGAAATAGACACCTGTAAGCGGGGAGTTAAACCAGCTTCTGTCACCCGTGGCATTTCAATAGCTCTCACTCAGACACCAATAGCTTCCTCTGGTGTCAGAAAAATATGTCATGGAGGGAATATACCAGCTCCCTCAGTTGCCTGCCTCCAGAGGACTGCAAACCTTGTCAATGAGGTCATTTGCAAAGAAAATAAAAGGGACATGAAAAGAATCAGGGAAGAACTAAAAGAAATTAATAAATACAGGGGACTGCCACAGAATGTTATAAATGTACAGGCAGATGGCATGTACAACAACAACTTGTACAGCGGTGTGGGGAAAACACCGTTTCAGCCTGCAACGCAGGCATCATATACAGTTGCGGAGACAATAACCTCTAAAAAACAAATAGTTGCTGCTGAGCAAGTGAACAAACTTTGTTCCAAGCATGGCTTCCACACTCAAGAAGAAACAGAATGCGACAACAAGTCTGGACCTTGCTCGGCAACAGCTAGCATTGAAACAACTATAGGAGACGAATACAGATGGGCAAAAAGCTGCTTCCTGGATCTACATCATGATGGGCTCGAGGTCAAATATCTAACCACTGATGCAGATTCAGGGGCTTTTCGTGCTGCCACAGACCTTTACGACAACAAAATCACAAGCACAGAACCTGTTCATCAGCTGGACACGAGACATCTGGCAGAAAATCATCGGAAACAAATGAACTCCTGCTCGCGTCTTTTGAATATGATGCCCGGTCATAATGTTGAATACCGAAAGTACTTAAGAAATAGGTTTGCCCTTGACCTAAGTCGCCGGTGTACAGCTGAATTTGAATCAGTATTTACAAAGGAAAACGGAGATTTTTCAAAAATAACAGAGAAATTAAAATACCTTGTTACTGCGATTAAACGCTGTTATGCTGGGGACCATTACGGTTGCAATCTTCATTCGAGGGTTTGTAAAGGCGCAAAAAAACAATAACTGGTTAGTAAACAGTGCTTTCTTGACAAAAAATTTCAAAATCAGTCTCAATATCCCTGATAATCATGACACAATGCTTGATTGGATTGAATTTAGACTAGGTGAAGATATGTTAAACAAAACTCGTCTTAATTCAAATACCCAAAAAGTAGAAGGGACGAACCGCGCTATTAAAAAATGCTTACCTAATAACACCACTTTTCCGCACAACTGTTCTGGACGATTTTTCAGTGCTATACACGCTGTAAACAATGGGCCAGGGGTATCACTTATGAAACTATGCACAGCAGCGGAGTGCCCAATCCCAAAAGGTGGTCGGGTTGCCCGTCAATTACTTCAAGAACAGAAACGCGCTGAAAATAAAAAAGAAACAGAAAAAAGTATTGAATTCAAGCTTAAACGTTCAAAAAGAAAAAGTCTTATGTATAAATTACATGAAAGTACCAGAGAGAAAAACAAATATGTAAAAGGACAGTTACTGAAAGACCGTATTAATTATTTAAGTCAAAGACGACGTAAACAAAACCTGAATAAATATGAAGAGTCGATGCCATCTACCAGTGACCATGGAAGTTATACACGCCCTTTCTGTAGCCGGGCCGGTAAAAGACATGGGGGTTCGTGCCTGCAGACATAGACACTATGACCGAAGCAGTGAATCCTAGACATGTTTGTCTCATGCTTCTCTAGTACTAAGTGCCTAGGGTTTACGCAACCTTTATTATTGCATGTATGGCTAACATCTAGTGACGACCCATCTGGTGCTAGCCGTGGCACATCCTCTCTTAGCAAACGCTGGTCCAACATATAAGCCAGTCTATGAGTACTTTCAATGGTCTGAAGACCATTTGGCCATTTAATTTTTTTTCTCCCATATCCATACTTATCTTTACTCCCTATCCAGATTTTACAGTCAATTTCCCCATCAGCATTCATAATAATTGAGTGTTTGTCCATATTTTTCTGCAAATTTGACCAAAATTGGTTCAAATCAGCCATTTTGTACATTTTGTATATAACAAATACATATTCATAGCTCATTAGTCAATTATTATCAAAACAAGACATGTTAACTTACATCATTGGCACGAGATGTTTCCTACCATTTTCAGCCTTTAGGTCAGATACTCGTATTAATTTTCCATAGGCTTACATTATAAGAAATGACCTCAAAACAGACCTTAAAATTGAGTTTTCATCATAGAGATGTCATTTTTCTGGGAGAATGACATGCCTGACACATAAAACTCATCTCGTTATATAGGGGTAGCCGACCAAATTTTTCGTAAAATGACTTCAAAGAGGATTACCCCCCCTTTACACTGTAATTCACTGCTGATCACAGGACTGACATATACTTTTTTAAAATGTAAATATCAGAGTAAAAAATTATCCTACAGACTTACAAAATACTTCATTTTTTTCAGAAAACAATGTACTGTTAGTTTCGAGAATAGTTTTTATACTTATACACAATACCTTCTCGTCCAATCACCTAATGTCCCATTGAATCTTACGGTTTTCCCTGCACTTTTTTTAGCCAATCGCTGGCCATGTAACAATACGTTACCCTGACCTTTAGCTCGTACCACGAAAGTTTCCTTATTTTTTATGGAAACAGACAAACCACACAAACACGAACATTCAGTAATTACTTTTTTTTATTTTTAAGCTCATCTGTCACAAAGTGACAGGGTGAGCTTTTGTGATCGCTTTTCGTCCGTCCGTCGTCCGTAAACTTTTACTTTAAATGACATCTCCTCATAAACCACTTGGCCAATTTCATCCAAACTTCACAGGAATGTTCCTTTGGTGGTCACCTTTGAAAATTGTTCAAAGAATTTAATTCCATGCAGAACTCTGGTTGCCATGGCAACCAAAAGAAAAAAACTTTATATTTGGCATGAAACATCTGCTAGTGAGTGTCTACCAAGTTTGTTCAAATAAAAGCCCTGGGGTCAAAATTAGACTCGCCCCAGGGGGTCATTGATTTTCCCTTAATACATATAGTAAAAACTTAAAAAATCTTCTTTTAAAGAACGCAAAGAGCTAGAGCTAAGATATTTAGCATGAAACATCTTCTAATGGGTGTCTACCAAGTTTGTTCAAATAAAAGCCCTGGGTCAAAATTATGGCCCCGCCCCAGGGGGTCATTGATTTTCCTGATATGCATATTGTAAAAACTTAAAAAATCTTCTTTTAAAGAACCCAAAGAGCTAGAGCTAAGATATTTAGCATGAAACATGTTCTAATGGATGTCTACCAAGTTTGTTCAAATAAGAGCCCTGGGGACAAAATTGACCCCGCCCCAGGGGTCATTGATTTTCCTAATATGTGTATAGCAAAAACTTAAAAAATTTTCTTTGAAAAAACTCAAATAGCTAGAGTTTAGATATTAAGCACGAACCATCTTCTAGTGAGTATCTACAAAGTTTGTTCAAATAAAAGCCCTGGGGTCAAAATTGTCCTCGCCCTGGGGGACATTGATTTTCGTTATAATTTTTTTATGTGTATAGCAAAAACTTAAAAATCTTCTTTGAAAAAACCCGAATAGCTAGAGTTTAGATATTAAGCATGAAACATTTTCTAGTAAGTGTCTACAAAGATTATTCAAATAAAAGCCCTGGGGTCAAAACTGGCCCTGCCCCAGGTGTGTCATTGTTTTTAACTATATGTTTAAAGAAAAAACTTGAAAAAAATCTTCTTTTAAAAATCCCAACGAGCTAGACCTTAGATGTTTAGCATGAAACATATTCTACTGGGTGTCTACCAAGTTTGTTCAAATAAAAACCCTGGGGTTTAAACTGGCCCCGCTCTGGGGGCCTATATACAGGTGAGCGACTTCAGGGCCATCATGGCCCTCTTGTTTTTATAGAATTTGATTGTCTGAATGAGCCAAACTTCATTTACTAAAAAAGAATTCTTCACAACAGCAGGTGTCAAGCACAGGCACGAGTATCGGACCTGGGAAGAAAAAATATGACCAGATTGATAAAAAAAACCTGTGTTCATCTTAAGAGTGTCAAAAAAACAAAAAAAATGTAAATAATGACCCCCTTTAAAAATATACTATAAGTTAAGAATCTGGAGTTTCCGGCCTTCTCTTAACTTATAGTATATTTTTAAAGGGGGTCATTATTTACATTTTTTTTGTTTTTTTGACACTTTTAAGATGAACACAGGTTTTTTTTTATCAATCTGGTCATATTTTTTCTTCCCAGGTCCGATACTCGTGCCTGTGGTGTCAAGTGCCGTGTGGCAGCTGTAAAAAGTTGCCCCGTACTTCACTTCAGTGTTGTTATATTTTTTTGGTCCTTCGGGATCATTGATGCCAGCACTATTAAGTGTTGAGAATTGAGTACCGCTCAAGCCAGTGCTAGGGGGCGTGAGGGATGTTGCACTTATTCATTATCCCTCATGTACAGACTCAATCAAACCGAGTCTGCAATTCTTAGGTAATTTTGTTGTGATTAATGCTTCCGAGGGATCACTTTGGTTCCAGATTTTTAAGAAAAAAATATGTTAATCACTCTGAGAAGATTATTTTTAAATAAAAAAAAACAAAACTTTTTTCCCCCTTACAAATGCTTTATCGATCTCTGCAGCCTGTAGTTTACAAAATATTTGGTTGAATTATGAAATAGAGTAAATCTTGAACATTTCATTCTGTTAACAGATATCACATGGTGAGAAAAATGTGCAGCCTGACCGGGACTCGAACCTGACACTCTCAGGATACCATTCTGTACATCATTACTGAACTATCCAGACGCATTCACATCTTCTCCCCTAAATAGTGAACAGTTCTGAACCGTGACACATACTGTATTTATGTGTGATAAATCACAGAAACATTCTATGTTACAACACTTTTGATAATAGACCAAAAGACTATAGTAAAAGACATGTTTCAAAATTTTACACAGAAATACCCTCAAGCACAATGTTTGTCAGTCAGTATACCTTATATTTATTTTTCAATATGCAGACAGGGCTAGGTGATGCTGGTATGTATCGCATAGAAACTGATAGTTTTGGAGATATACTGGTTCCAGCTAACAAATACTATGGTGCTAACACAGCTCGGTCATTGATAAATTTCAACATTGGTGGTCCATCAGAGCAGATGCCAGTAAGTTAAAAAAAACATCAAAATTTGAAATAGATTTTTTGTTCCGCTCTTTATTTTATTTTTAGAGATTTGCATATCAATGTATATTGTGTTTTTTCCATTTAATTATCTGCCTTAGACATTGTAGTTATTTTTGCTTCCTATACATTCAAACCATGATAAATTTTGTATAAACTAAATAAAGTGAAGACAAAATACACTAACATGTGTTACATAATTAATATAGCTATTTGATATCTTTTGTTATAATAATATATATGTTGTATAGAAGATTTTATAAACAGCATGAAATGTTAAAGCAGGTAGCTTGTTTATTGATAATTATAATGATGATTTTTATAGATACCAGTGATAAAGGCTCTAGCTATTCTGAAGTGTTGTGCTGCTAGAGTAAATGAAGAATTGGTTAAAACGAGATCTATCTAAAGCCATTCAAGAGGCAGCAGAGGAGGTAATGACCTAGCTAGTGTTATAGAGATCTCTGTTAATAGCTTACACTAGCATATGCTTCTTTGTTGGTGTGTCTTTTTCATATATTGATTTGTTTTTTCATTTACAAGAATAAGTAATTGGTTAACTGTAAGTAATCTTTAGATTTCTTACCAATAAATAATAAAAAATTGGCAGTTGAAAATATAGATTGTATACAAATATTTGCATACCTTTTAGAATGGTTTTGTTAACTTTATGTTTCTCTATACTTCAGTACATGTATCTTAGGAGCTATATTTACTGTAGTTACGGAGTTTTTTTAGGTTTATGGTTTACACTTGTTGCTAGTCAATAAAGTATCCTGTAGAGTAATATTTATAAAAAATAACTATGCACTTTTAGACAATCAAGTATGTTTTGCCTATTTTCTTCAGGAATAGTATATACTTCTCCTTATTTGTTAGCTTGACTTTTTCAAAGAAAAATTCTGAGCTATAGCTACAGTTTGCTTGTCATTCCCCTTCCCATTGCTGCCCAGAAACTTTATCATTCTTGAACACAAAAACCTTTTGGGCAAGGCCTTCAAGAAGACCAGACTGGTCATGATCTTGATTCATAATGATCTTGACCGTCAAGGTAAATGTTTAACTTTGGCTTGACTGTGTGATATCATTGGCTATAACTTTATTATTCATTTATAAATGGATTGTCTTCATACTTGGACACAATATTCCTTTGGACAAGACCTTCAAGGAGTTAAAATTAATTTTTACCTTCACGAATCAATGACCTGTACATTTAATTGAATTTTGCTTGTTTTTTTTTGCTTAAATTAGTCTAAAATTGGATTGTCTTTATAGTTTAATACAACAACCATAAAGACAATGTCCTTAAGGAGATCATACTCAATTTGACCTTGACTTATAAATAATTTTTGACCTTGAGGGTCAAATTAATGTAATTCCACTGTTCTTTTTGCTATAATTGGCTGTAACTTTGTAAGTAATGAATTGTTGTCTTCATACTTGGGACAAGACTTTAAAGAACATTTAATTGAACTTGAGTCTTGACCTTAGCTTTTAATTTGACCTTGACATTAAAGGTCAAATTTTGGAATTTTGCTACAATTGGCCATAAGTTATTTATTTATTTATTTATTGATTCGATTTATGCTTGGACAAGATAACAAAACTGACATAAGTTGCAGATTAACAATAAATTAAAAAGATTGGGAGGGGAGAACAACACATCAAAACACCAGGTCGGTTTCTATATTTATTTAAACTACCGGTTTCGGGGCTACTATATACTTCATCAGGTTATCCTTAGTTGCAATTTTTCAAATATGACCTTTGACCTATAAAGGCCCTTGACTGTTAAGGTCAAATATTGAATTCAGGTGACTTAGATTGTCATAACTTTGTTATTTTTTACAGATTTTAATTCATACTGGAGAAAGAAACCCCTTATGCGAAAACCCATATGTTGAATAATTCAGAGATGAACCCTTGACATTTATTTAACTTTGATAGTCAAATTATTGAAAAGTTGCTTAAATTGTTATTAATTTGTTATTTATTTACTAATTTTTGTATATTTATTTACTGATTTGATTTATAATTGGACAAAGTAACCAGTATGTTAAAATCAGTTATTATGTTAAAGAATTCAAAAATAACCTTAACCTTTAATTGACATTGCCTAGGTCAAAATTATTGAAATTTCTTAAAATTGTCAAAAAAAAAAAAAAAAAAAAAAATTAAAAAAAAAAAAAAAATGCAAATCCCAAAATGTTAAAATATTCTGAATATGGCACTGATTTTTAATTTGACCTTTTTAAGGTCAAATTATTGAACTTTGCTTACATTGTCATATTTTTTTATTTTATGGTTTTGATACATTCTTGGACAAAAGAACAAATATGACAAAACTGAAAGATGATATATACACTTGTGACCTTGACCTTTAGTTGGACTTTGACCATCAAGGTCAAATGTGAAATTTGAGTTATATTTTGTACATGGAAATAACTTTCTTAGGAGTATTCTTTACTAGTTTACTACAACATCTTCCTCGATGCATTTTGACTTAAGAAATAAGAATAAGTGAGTATGGCCCCTGCTAGGCAGTGGGTCATGTTAAATTTCCTGTTGTGTCACTAGCTTTGCACTGCCATATTTTAATAACGGTTTAAATTGTTGTTTATGGAATCAAAAATGTATAGAATGTTCTGTATGTGTGTGTTTGTATGTTTGTGTGTACATGTATTCTGTGCGTTAATGAGGGTCATGCCCTTTCTGGCACTGAGAGTACAAAACCCCAGACATGTCACCATTCATGACTTTAAAGGTTATTATATGCCAAAAGTTGACCAATACATTTTGAATTTAGTAATTCACTGAATGATACTTAATATGTATGCAAGTCAATTTTTGTGACGAGTTTAATTTTGATTACACAGAAAGCAAATGATATAGAACATATTTTATTTTGTTTTGCCTTTTCATTGAGGATACTGGTAGCTTTAGTCAAGGAAGGGCTTGCACTCGTTCTATATTATTCTTCACAGAAGAAATTGAGGTTGGCTCATGTTACTGTATTTGTTATGTTTGTGGCCAAGTATCATCCAGACATCCATATACTAAAGAATATGTCTCATATTTGGGTTGTGATGAAGAAAAACTGTATATATTTGGGTTTTTTTCTGGCCTTAATTTGTCCAACTAAATGTTCTTTATGTTGCTAATCTCTCATATGAGGCTACTATTTAGAAATAAATTGTTTTGCTAGCCTATTGAAAATGCCCTTTGAGGTTGTCACTTTTGAAACAGTTTTGTTAATCTTTATCAAGATCACTATGTTTACATTCAGATGAGCAAGTGTTTATAGTCAAAGGTGAAGGGACATGGAGTGTTGCACGCAAAATTCTAAAAAAAATTAAATAGCATTTTTGTTTAATAGGTAGTGTAATAACACACTTTCTGATTTGTTACATTGACCCTTGCTTTTAGAAGTTAATACCATTGATAATAGTAAAACAACGTCCGTCTGCTTTTAATGTTTATAACCTTATACAAAAAGAGTTCAGTTTTCATTTAGAAAAAAGATTTTGTGAATAGATTTTTTCCACTTGTTTTTAGCTCACCTGTCACAAAGTGACAGGGTGAGCTTTTGTGATCGCTTTTCGTCCGGCGTCCATCCGTCGTCCGTCCGTCGTCCGTCCGTCGTCCGTCCGTAAACTTTTACTTTAAATGACATCTCCTCATAAACCACTAAGCCAATTTCATCCAAACTTCACAGGAATGTTCCTTTGGTGGTCACCTTTAAAAATTGTTCAAAGAATTTAATTCCATGCAGAACTCTGGTTGCCATGGCAACCAAAAGAAAAAACTTTAAATATCTTCTTTTAAAAAACCATAAGAGCTAGAGCTTAGATATTTGGCATGAAACATCTTCTAGTGAGTGTCTACCAAGTTTGTTCAAATAAAAGCCCTGGGGTCAAAATTGGCCCTGCCCCGGGGGGTCATTGATTTTCCCTATATGCATATAGTAAAAACTTAAAAAATCTTCGTTTAAAAAACCCAAAGAGCTAGAGCTAAGATATTTAGCATGAAACATGTTCTAATGGGTGTCTACCAAGTTTGTTCAAATAAAAGCCCTGGGGTCAAAATTGGCCCCGCCCCGGGGGGTCATTGATTTTCCCTATATGCATATAGTAAAAACTTAAAAAATCTTCTTTTAAAGAACTCAAAGTGCTATGGCTAAGATATTTAGCATGAAACATGTTCTAATAAGTGTCTACCAAGTTTGTTAAAATAAAAGCCCTGGGGTCAAAATTGGCCCCACCCAGGGGGTCATTGATTTTCCCTGTATGCATATAGTAAAAACTTAAAAAATCTTCTTTTAAAGAACTCAAAGAGCTATGGCTAAGATATTTAGCATCAAACATGTTCTAATAGGTGTCTACCAAGTTTGTTCAAATAAAAGCCCTGGGGTCAAAATTGGCACGGCCCCGGGGGTCATTGATTTTCCTTATATGTGTATAGCAAAAACTTAAAAAATCTTCTTTGAAAAAACCCAAATAGCTAGAGTTAAGATATTAAGCATGAAACATCTTTTAGTGAGTGTCTACAAAGTTTGTTCAAATAAAAGACCTGGGGTCAAAATTGGCCCCGCCCCGGGGGTCATTGATTTTCTTTATATGTGTATAGCAAAAACTTAAAATCTTCTTTGAAAAAACCCAAATAGCTAGAGTTTAGATATTAAGCATGAAACATCTTCTAGTAGGTGTCTACAAAGTTTGTTCAAATAAAAGCCCTGGGGTCAAAACTGGCCCGCCCCAGGGGTGTCATTGTTTTTAACTATATGTGTATAGTAAAAACTTTAAAAAAATCTTCTTTTAAAAAGCCCAATGAGCTAGAGCTTAGATGTTTAGCATGAAACATCTTCTTATGGGTGTCTACCAAGTTTGTGCAAATAAAAGCCCTTGGGTTAAATTGGCCCTGCAATGTTGGGGGGGGGGGGGTTGGGGGGCCTATATACAGGTGAGCGACCTCAGGGCCATCATGGCCCTCTTGTTTAATTGTTCTATGAAATCCCCACCTTTAAGATTGCCATGCTGTCAAATATGAAACTGGAACATTTTAAAGTATTTTTTTACATCAAGCTTTTAAACATTTTAATTAAGTATAGTTAGACACAGTTTAGGTTTTATTTGATGTTTAAAATTTTATATTTAAGGTATTGAAGGGAGGACTAAATGAACATTTTCCACTTGTTATCTGGCAGACCGGCTCAGGTACCCAGAGTAATATGAACATGAATGAGGTACTCAGTAACAGGGCTATCAAGATACTAGGAGGAGAACTTGGCAGTAAATCACCTGTACACCCGAATGATCATGTTAACATGAGTCAGGTAAAAATACTGGTATATATTACTTATATATGCCATCAACTATTGACTGCAGTTTTTTTTCAGCATTAATCTTTATCAAAGTGAGCAACATTTTCAATTTGCCATGTTGAGTGACCTTTAAGGATCTTGTTTTAACAATTTATTAACAAAGCTTGTAATGATGCATGCAATTGAAACTGATATATATCATTCACATAGCATAATTTACAGGTTTTGAGTGCACTAAAGCTGTAAACTTATTACATTATAATGACTTAACAATGTAATATTTATTAGTGTTACACTTCCAGTTAACAGATCTCTTTTAATCTTTAGAGTTCTAATGATACATTCCCAACAGCGATGCATATAGCAGTTGCTATGGAGATACATGAGAGGTTGTTACCAGGGTTACAGATGTTACATGATGCTTTAAAATCAAAATGTGAAGAGTTTAAAGACCTTGTGAAAATAGGGAGAACTCATACACAGGTATTATTATGTAATTGTATTATACATCTTAGCCACCTTAAATACATAAATAAAGAGATAGATAAGTGATAGAAGTTGAAATAATTGGGCATGCAGAGAACATAAGAAAGTGTTTATTAATGTTTCTTTATTCTTGTAACACTCCTTAGTTTGGTATCCATTGGCATTTGTTGAAAGTTAAAGGTCATGGTTCCTTTACATGGCCCAGCTTTGGGGCTATTTGTCTCTGTCCAACAAATTGTCTAACTATGCTGTAATTATTTTGTTTGTTATATAAATGAAAACCCATCTTGAAAGATCACTTTGAATGTAGCTGTGAGCAGTTTCATTCTTACACAATGATTTAATAATTTAGGATGCTACCCCATTGACATTAGGTCAGGAGTTTAGTGGGTATGTACAACAGATAATAAATGGTATAGACAGAGTGAAGACTACACTACCTAGACTTTATCAACTGGCTGCTGGTAAGGTTTTCTTTTACATACTTGATGTTGATTATGTTTAGTTTAAACAGAATTTATTTTAGTATGATTGTGTAGGAAGCTATAAGCTTATAGACACACTCTCAAATCCATTCCTTGAACCAACCAGTACTGAGGAATAAGTGTAAATTTATTTGCTCAAGGAAACAATGGCTTTTCCCTAACTGGGTTTCAACCGATGTGGCTAGAAATCCTTACATTACTAGTCCAACTCGTTAACCACTCAGCCATGCCTCAGTCTATGAATGAGTGGTACAGATCACTTACTTTGAATCTTAGAGATCATTACCACTATCAGATTGGATTCAAGTTAGGGACTATGAATTATTTTATATGAGGAAGCCAACCACCTGACTTATAGAAAGTTCTATCCAACTCCATCCTTGTGACTGAGATAATGCATGGAGTTGCATCTGATTAATTCCTCCACCAGTAAAGCTGGAAAGTTGCATATGATCTTTTCATTGTCTTTGTAACTTAAAACTGAAACAATTCAAATTGCATATTAGTGCTGCATATGTGTGTTTGTGTTCTTTACTAAAATATTTTTAGAGTACATTTGTATTACATATATAATTGTATATACAAATATATTGTCTGTCTACTAATAACTATTTTAAAGCATTATTTCTTTCATGTTTTATTAGGAAAGTTTAAAAAAAAACTAAATTAGCAGATTTGACTAGTTTAACATCAACATATTGATATGATGCTGATTTATATCTGACTAATTAATGTGTTTTATGCTGATGGATCCAGTTGTGGAAATGTAATGCATAGTAGGTTTTAAATGTGTTATTTTTTCTACAGTTTTCATGAAACATGTCATCATAAGTTTTGATTTAAACAAGTAGGGATTATTAACTTACATGTATTTCAGGTGGTACTGCAGTTGGCACTGGCTTGAACACTAGAATAGGATTTGCAGAAAAAATAGCAGCTGAAGTAGCAAAATACACAGGTACATTTTTTCCTTTCTCTTTGACCATAAAAGGTGTACAAAATATTGATATTGTTTCACTTCATTTTTTGTTTTCACTCAAAATTACATTATGCCCATCCAAGAGTTTAAACAACTTTGCTCTATAATGTTCAGTGTCTTTGTCACTTTTCATCAAAATTAGTCTAATACAATAGCTTTCATATTTTTGTTCTGCAGATATACCGTTTGTAACTGCCCCAAACAAGTTTGAATCTCTTGCTGCCCATGATGCTATGTTAGAAGTCCATGGTGCCTTAAATGTGGTGGCTACAAGCATTATGAAAATTGCCAATGATATACGGTTCCTGGGTTCAGGACCCAGGTGTGGACTAGGTGAACTAAGTCTGCCAGAGAATGAACCAGGAAGCAGTATCATGCCAGGTATTTTATTCATTTTCCGTTTGAAATGAAGATATTAGATTTGATTACATATATTTCAGTTTTCTTTTTATAGTGAGAATCCCTTCATTTTTTTAAAACAACATCATTTTTAACTGTTATAACACTTTTATAAATACCAAATATTGGCTTTCTTTTTATATGCCCGAAAGAATTTTGGGCATATTATGTTATACCCCCGGCGTCCGTCCGTTCGTCCGTCTGTCTGTCCATCCGTTCGTTAGCAATTTGGTTTCCAGAGCATAACTTAAGTTCCATTTGGCCCACAATATTCAACTTCATAGGATGATTGTCCATATTGGGTAGAAGACCCCTATTGATTTGGGGTTTCAGGTCAAAGGTCAAGGTCACTATGACCTTAACCCTTTACTCCACAGATACGGGAATCTACTCAATTATCCATTCCCCCATAGATACGTGAATTACCGCACTCATCTTATCTCCATGTATACTCGAATCACCGCAACTGTCTTATCTCCATACATACGCGAATCACCGCAAGCAAGTTTAAATGCAATTTGTAAATAAAGTATAAATGCGAGGAATCCCATGAAATCATTTATGTAAACTTTAATCAAAGTTCTACCAGTTGCCGATGTAAAATTTTGTGGTTTATATTGAAAATTTCTGGACAGGTAGAGTTTAAATCACCACGTGTTTACTGCAGATTTACTGGTAAATCTTACGACCTTGACCATGGAAAAGTACTGGGAGTTTTTCCCTAGCCGAGATAAATATAGCTTGGCATGCCCCAGTTACATGACAAATTCAATATTTTTAGCACATTTATATTTAGAAAGAAGAATTGATCATGTAATCACCAAAATGTGTAAATCAAGGGGTATTTTACATGTTAACAGTCGGACATGCTTTGTGCTATTTAATTTTAAAAAGTTTGTTGATAGAAAAGAAAAAAGGATTAAACATTAGTTTTGTGTAAATGTGTTGACGGTTTTGGTGTTATGTAAGTGCAAATTAATTAGCCAATAAAATCACGGAGAACGGTATATCACGCTGTGCAATGGAATTTATGCAAATTAGCAAGGGGCCATTTAATTAGTTGACTCGTGGTACATTGTTTATTCAGTATCGCACAGCTGTCAAAACAAAGCAATCAAGGCTGATTGTCGGCATTATTTTAAGATGGGTTTTTTTTTTTAGAAAAATACATAATATATATACATGGATTATTAAATAAATAGGCATTAAAAATATTACATTCATAATGAAAACAGAAATAAAATATAGTAATACTATTGTGTTTTTGCCTTTTTATCTTCAAAGCCCCTGACTTTATAGATCTTTAACCCTAAAACATTATATGCCAGCCCTTTTCTAAAATTACATTTAAAAAAATCTTTTACACCAAACATTTTTGTGCCCCCACGTTAGTGGCGGGCATTTAGATTTACCCTTGTCCGTCCGTCCGTCCGTCCGTTCACTTTTGTGTCGCACGTAACTCAAAAAGTAATTGACATAGAGTCATGAAACTTTACAGGAATGTTGATCAGCATGTGTTGTTTTGCACCTGGGTATTTTTGTCTGGATATTTTTAGTATTTTCAGAGTTATTGCCGTTGACTTAGTAAAATTTTGCAATTTTCAACTTGTGTAGCATGTAACTCAAAAAGTATTTGACCTAGAGTCATGAAACTTTACAGGAATGTTGATCAGCATGTGTAGTTGTGCACCTGTGTATTTTCGTCTGGATATTTTTAGTATTTTTAGAGTTATTGCCCTTGACTTAGTAAAATTTTGCAATTTTCAACTTGTGGCGCATGTAACTCAAAAAGTGTTTGACCTAGAGTCATGAAACTTTACAGGAATCTTGATCAGCATGTGTTGTTGTGCACCTGGGTATTTTCGTCTGGATATTTTTAGTATTTTCAGAGTTATTGCCCTTGACTTAGTAAAATTTTGCAATTTTCAACTTGTGTCGCATGTTACTCAAAAAGTATTTGATCTGGAGTCATGAAACTTTACAGAAATGTTGATCAGCATGTGTAGTTGTGCACCTGGGTATTTTCGTCTGGATATTTTCAGTATTTGTAGAGTTATATTGCCCTTGACTTAGTAAAATTTTGCAATTTTCAACTTGTGTCGCATGTAACTCAAAAAGTATTTGACCTAGAGTGATGAAACTTTACAGGAATGTTGATCAGCATGTGTTGTTTTGCACCTGGTTATTTTGGTCTGGATATTTTTAGTATTTTCAGAGTTATTGCCCTAGACTTAGTAAAATTTTGCAATTTTCAACTTGTGTCGCATGTAACTCAAAAAGTATTTGACCTGGAGTCATGAAACTTTACAGGAATGTTGATCAGCCTGTGCAGTTGTGCATCAGATATTTTCGTCTGGATTTATGTAGTATTTTTAGAGTTATTGCCCTTCACTTAGAAAATTTTTGCAATTTTCAACTTGTGTCGCAAGTTACTCAAAAAGGATTTGACATAGTCATTAATTAAACTTTATGGGCAGGTTGCTCAGCATATTTAGGTTTGCACCTTGGGTTTCGCTTGTGGATTTATCCAGTATTTGTAGAGTTATTTCCCTTGACTTAGTAAAAAGATTGACAGAACAGTGGCGCGGTGGGGGCACCCGTGTCCTATGGACACATTTCTAGTTTTTAATAGAATTTAAAAGTGCAAAAAATAATTAAATTATCTGAAAAGTTAAGCTAAATCATTGTAAATTAGTAAACTGTTTGGTTTAAAGCCTCATATCTCTAGATATATTTTTCACATTTTCATGAAAAATACACCATTAGAAAGATAATTCAATTTAGAAAATACTTTATATTGGTCACTAATTGATTACTACAAGATTTAATAAAGTAATACTGATTTAAATAACACTGATGTAGATGTTTGTATTTTTCCCAATAACCTGTATGGAGATAGTGTACAGTACACTGATAAGAGTGTATTGGTTATCAGTCATCAATAGTGATAAGGTAGTATGGACATGATAAGGGCAATTAAGTTAAATGTGTATGGGGTAAAGGGTTAAAACTGAAAACAGTTTCCGGAGCATAACTTAAGTCCCATTTGGCCCACAGTGTTCAAACTTCATAGGATGATTGTCCATATTGGGTAGAACACCCCTATTGATTTTGGGGTCACAAGGTCAAAGGTCAAGGTCACTATGACCTTAAAACTGAAAACAGTTTCCGGAGCATAACTTAAGTCCCATTTGGCCCACAGTGTTTAAACTTCATAGGATGATTGTCCATATTGTGTAGAAGACCTGCTGACCTTAAAATTGAAAACAGTTTCCGGAGCATAAGTTAAGTCCCATTTGGCCCACAGTGTTCAAACTTCATAGGATGATTGTCCATATTGGGTAGAAAACCCCTATTGATTTTGGGGTCACAAGGTCAAAGGTCACTATTACCTTGAAACTGAAAACAGTTTGCGGAGCATAACTTAAGTTCCATTTGGCCCACAGTGTTCAATCTTCGTAGGATGATTGTCTATATTGGGTAGAAGACCCCTATTGATTTTGAGGTCAACGGTCAAGGTCACTATTACTTTGAAATTGAAAACAGTTTCTTGAGCATAACTTAAGTTCCATTCGGCCCACAATATTCAAATTTCATAGGATGATTGTCCATATAAGGGAGAAAACCCCAATTGATTTTGGGGTCATAAGGTCAAAGGTTAAGGTCACTATTACCTTAAAACTGAAAACAGTTTCCGGGGCATAACTTAAGTTCCATTTGGACCACAATATTCAAAGGAGGATTGTTATTTGAAGGAGGTATTACTTTATTTAATTCCAATGTCTTACAAATGCTTCATCGTTACTTAAAATAAAAATCACTTTCGGGCATATAATGCTCCGCCTAAAGGTGCTCTTGTTGATAATTATGTCACAGGGTGAGAAAAATTTGCAGCCTGAGCGGGACTCGAACCCAAGACCCTCGGAATACTGTTCTGCGGCTCTACCAACTGAGCTATTCGGCCGCTTACACATCTTCTCCCCTAAATAGTGAACAGTTCTGAACCATGACAATTAGATAATTTGCTTAAATTTCAGGTAAAAGAGGAAAATAACTTTTGATTTTAATAATAAAGTTAAATTTATTATCATACTTTTCTTCTTCTTAAAAAAAAACAACAAAAACCCCGAAAAGTTTATTGAGGACAGTACAAATACAATTTGCTCTTGAAATATTACTATCTGTATTACAGGGAAGGTGAATCCTACTCAGTGTGAAGCTATTACCATGGTGTCAGCTCAGGTGATGGGAAATCATGTGGCTGTGACAATAGGTGGAAGTAACGGCCATTTTGAACTGAACTGCTTCAAACCAATGATGGTCAGTAATGTACTTCAATCTGTACGTCTACTGGCTGATGCTAGTGTGTCATTCACTAAGAACTGTGTGAATGGTATAAAAGCTAATCGAGATGTTATAGGAAGATTGCTCAATGAGTCACTGATGCTCGTCACAGCTTTAAATCCTCATATAGGGTACGACAAGGCAGCTGAAATAGCCAAAACTGCACATAAAGATGGGACCACTCTGAAAGCTGCAGCTTTGAAATTAGGATATTTAACGGATGAACAGTTTGATAGCTGGGTGAAACCAGAGCAAATGTTGGGACCAAAGTAACTAATTGTGATAATGTGATTATAATAGTTGGGACTAAACTTGACACTATTGTGCCTTATATACTTATTCCATTTAATTGTGATACCATAAGGTGCTTTATTTAAAATATAGTATAATTTGGATACGGGAAAATTTCTGGTCATTTGAAAGTGTACGGAATAAAGGTTGTTTTTTGTTTAATTTTCAAGTCTCAATTTTATTTTAGGTGAATTTGCATTTTACGTGAATTTGCATTTTCTTTTTGTTATTTTTGAATGTTTTTCATTTACATTTATATCAAAAGTGTTTTACAATATATTAGTTTTAGGATGAAGTCAATTTATCCAATTTTGATGTTTTTACTAACATTTTGATATAAATATTTCATTCCCACCTCACTACTTTTATGATTACCAGTAAGTTACTTAAGTTTATAACTACGAGGGTTGTCCCAAAATATCGTAGACAAAGTCTGTTACTCAATCAATTATAAAACAATAGAGTCGTCAAGCCAGGGAAAAGTCAATATACCTTTTATGTGTGTCTATGCGAAATAAAATCAAAATACCTCCAAAAATGACCAAGTTATTAAAATTTAGAGAATGCTACCTATACATACCCGGCGCACGCCGTCATAAACGTCATGACGTAACAAGATTTAAAAAAATGTTTTTCAAAGTATTCTCCGTGTTTCTCGATCCACTGTCGGTGTCGGGCGACCCATTTATCATAACCATTTTCAAAATAGTTCTACTTTAATGTTCTCAACACTCGTTGAGTTTCCTTGCTTAATTAGTACCCTGAAATTTTCGAACCTCAGGGTGACCTCGTAATTGTGATTTCACATAAGGAAACACTGAAAAGTCTAAGGGCGTATGGAAGTCTCTAAAAACCTATTACATCAAGTTCAAGCTGTGTATCCTGAGATATATCGCAAAGTGCATTATCTTGATAAAATATAATGTTCTCCATGTTGTCAGTGAATGCTGGACGCTTCTTGAACTGAACAGAGTATTCAATGACATCGCGCTGCGCCGCATTTTCATCTGACGTCGCCATTTTGGGAATTTTCAAAATAGCATTGCTGTTACATATTATGCTACAGATTTTTTTAAAGTAGCGTTACATAAATGTCTGTTTGGGATATGACGTAAAAATGAATGACGTCGTTCCACAGGAATGTATTTCCCATAATTATTATTATGCTGGAAGTTAAAGGCATGTTTTTAAGAAGCATGCTCTCAACACTGACTAATATTTTATCGTGCTCCGGGTATGTTGTACTGTTTAATATAAAACCCTGATAAAAAGCGTTACCTTATATATTGGCTATTTACTTTAAGAAGGTAAATTAACAAATGACCAAGGAAGATATCTCGTAAATTTTATTAAGTTATGACGTCAGGTTGAAGAGAAAATAATGTAGTCTACGACATTTTGGGACAACCCTCGTAAGTTGGTCTTTAATTAGCTTTACAGTTTTTAGCAGTGAACAACTTTTTATGCCCCCACAGAGTGGGAGCATATAGCGTTGCACTTGTCCGTCCGAGTGTCTGTCAGTACGTCTGTCCGTCAGAACGTCCGTCCGTCTGTCCGTACGTCCCGAAATCTTGTGAACGCAACTCCTCTTAAACCGGATGGCAGATTTTGCTTAAACTTCCAGAGATGAACAACCTTAATGTGTAGATGGTAGTAAAGGAAGGAATTTTTGCTGCGACCAAATTTAACAGAATTATGGCCCTTTGTTGATTTTTTCACTATATACTATGTAGAAATTTTGTGAACGCAACTCATCTTAAACCGGATGGCAGATTTTGCTTAAACTTTCAGGGATGAACAACCTTAATGTGTAGATGGTAGTAAAGGGAGGAATTTTTGCTGCGACCAAATTTAACAGAATTATGGCCCTTTGTTGATTTTCTCACTATATACTATGTAGAAATTTTGTGAACGCAACTCCTCTTAAACCGGATGGCAGATTTTGCTTAAACTTCTAGGGATGAACAACCTTAATGTGTAGATGGTAGTAAAGGAAGGAATTTTTGCTGCGACCAAATTTTACATAATTATGGCCCTTTGTTGATTTTTTCACTATATACTATGTAGAAATTTTGTGAACACGACTCATCTTAAACCGGATGGCAGATTTTGCTTAAACTTCCAGGGATGAATAACCTTAATGTGTAGATGGTAGAAAAGGAAGGAATTTTTGCTGCGACCAAATTTAACAGAATTATGGCCCTTTGTTGATTTTTTCACTATATACTATGTAGAAATTTTGTGAACGCAACTCCTCTTAAACCAGATGGCAGATTTTGCTTAAACTTCTAGGGATGAACAACCTTAATGTGTAGATGGTAGTAAAGGAAGGAATTTTTGCTGCGACCAAATTTAACAGAATTATGGCCCTTTGTTTATTTTGATTTTTCAATTTGTGGCACATGTAGTCCAAAAAATATTTGACCTAGAGTCATAAGATTGACAGAACAGTGGCGTGTGGGGGCATCCGTGTCCTATGGACACATTTCTAGTTCTATTCGTTACTTAGTTATCTGATTACTAACAGTATCACAAACTAATCTATGTGTGTGTTTTTTTTTTAACTTTTTTTTTTGCATTTAACGAAGGTCACAAGTAATGATTATGTATTATCCTAGTGTAGCTATTGGATAGTCATTCAGCCAATTTACATAAAACTGTAAACACTGGGAGTTAGGCCCATTGCCCTTGACCTTTGTAAATTTGATGATTAGTTTATGTTATTCAATCAGATTACAGGTGTTTTTGTACCTGTAATGTGTACCTGTAATAATGTAATAATTTGGGTATAAATCTACTGCTTATAGTCATTATGTAATTGTGAGTTTGCACTTGGCATTAAATCAAATTTTAATAGTCATTTTTAAAATAAAGAGAATACCGGTATTAAAGATGTTATATATACATGTATATGTAAGATACATGTATACAGCTTTCCATTATACCATATAACACAAATTTTCATTAAGAGCATGTCATTATAATTAGAAACAAAATACATGTTCAAATTCCTACCATTGATTTGATCTATGGAATATTTAAATATTTTGTTGCATTGATTTAATTTATGGAACATTTATTTATAGACAGAATCTCAGGTTATTGTTTTTCACAAACAGAGTTGATTATAATCTATTTTATAATACATGTAGGAGAGTACTTATCTTATATATTTATATCATATTATCAGACTGGATTTTCTGATGTTTTCACCAGTGCTGAAAAATTTCATCTTACATGAAGGATATCATTCTGGCACCTTTACCAGTAACTGAATAAGTCTTATACTTGGGATGATTTTATTCTACCCATTCTCATTTTCTGAATGAAGTTGTCAATTTAATTTTATAAGCTACTGGTGCTACAATATAATATTATAAGAAAACAAGAAGTGAACAATTTTATTTTTCCAACTACTTGTTTAATTATATGTGATATGCAAGAAAAGAATCAAACACAGGCTGTTATTGCTGACAGGAATATCTGGCTCTTGGGTAACTGTTTAGCATTAAATGTCGCGGAGCCTTGTTCCTGCCTAACACAGTTACCATTCAGCCAGTGTAAAATTGTTATAATTGAAATGTTTCAGAAATTGTTTTATCAGATGATAAAATCTGCATTCCATAATTTCTTGGGCATATAATTTTATGTCTTTTCATGAAAAAACATGATCATTGTCAAATCAAATATAGCCATCTACTTAAATATATTCTCAACTTATTTTTTCTGGTAATGTTTGACTTTATAAATGATAAATGACATGAAATATACACTAGTTATGCTTGATAAAAGTTCAAAAGGTTTATGAAAGGTTGATAAAAAAATGAAGTCAATGAAAAAAGACAGGCTTTTTGGTCACATGATTCATGCTGTTTTGTTTTTGTTGTTTTATTTTTTGGTTACAGGGTTGTAATCTTGTCCTATGGTGCATTTATTTTACCATCAATATTTGTGTTGAAATATACAGGAGAAATAATGAATAAAATTGACAATCAAATCCAGTTGTTTAGCTTGTTTTTAGTTCACTTTAGCAATTTGTGCTCAGAGGTGAGCTTTTGTCATTGCATGATGTCTAGTCCAGTGTGCATCCTTATACAGGTGAGGAACATCTTCCAAATTAAATGATAGATTTTGGCCCCCTACAAAAGTTATGTAAATGGTTCCAGTCTGATGTATAAGTAGGTCACATGAGCTGAAAATATACCTTAAAATGATGAAGTCTTTAAAAAATCTTCTCAGTAACTACAATACCAAAGCTCAGATATTTGGGATGTTGCATCACTTTGTGGTCCTCTACAAAAGTTACTTAGATCATGTCACTGGAGTCAACTTTGAACCTGCTTTTGGGTTACATAAGTTCTATAAACTTATATAAGAAAACACATTTAATGTCCTTTGTTATTATTATTATACTGACTCTATTTAAAGTGGCATATTTCAACTGATACACTTAAATTGTCTTCCTAATTCCAGCTTTAAATTCTACAAAAGGACATTGACAGGGATATATAGTTGTAATATTAATTGTTTGAAAGTACATTGTGACTTATTTCACAAAGAAGTTAATTATATCAGATAGATTTTTCTTGTGCATTAACATAAAATTATATTACATATATTTAGTGTGAGTGTGTCTGGCATATCTATATCCTTACGTTCCAGAATTAAGAAGCCTTTACATCTACATCATAGTGCTTAAAAATCATAAAATGATCTTGTGTGGGAATAGCTATTATAACAAAAATATTAGATGCAATTTGATAGGCAAAAGCAAGTTAAAAGAAACTACAAGTCTGAGACAATACTGACTTAGAACTTGTAGAAAGGATGTAGCTGCCAAGTAAAAAGGCCAGCCTGTAAGGACACAGGTAGACCATTCTACAGACAAATGGGAAAACATGAATATGAGTGATACTGTGTCCTTGAGTAAACATCAGGTAGTTCTGGTTTTTCTATTGCCATGGGTGTCAGGACTGGTGGTGATGGTTAACCCTCGCAAGATTGTGTTGGATTTTATAAAGAAGAGTAACAGAGCTGATGTTGCATCTCAACTCAAGAGTTTGCATTACTTGGGAGAAGTAACCATTTGTTGTAGGCTGAAATTTATAATGTTTTCTAGGGCTACATTGAAAGTGCTCTTGTGCCTACAGATATCTATTGGTGATTCATTTAAACAATCTATTGGCAAAATAAAATCACCCAGTATCCAAGTTCAGCTTGAAGCATGTTGTGCACAGTTACTGACACCTACCTCAACCAAATTCCATTACATTACTTTAAAAAAATCTTAAAACTTAGAAAGACAAAAAAAAATAATAATAAAACTGATATGAACTACAACAGAGTTTTGATCAATAAAACTTCTTAAGACAATCTGGGACATGTTATATCCCAAAGAAAACAAAAATATTTCATAAATCTCTAGGATAATTTGTCACTTAGATATTATGTCATTTTGCAAACATTTTGTTGAGTTTGAATAGCTACTGCTATCACAGCTATATTTAAATAAAAAGTAATAAAGTCTCTGCTGCTAGATATAACCACAGATTTATATTACATGTATTCACAGGAGCTTTCTATCAATATTAACAATAATATGCAAAATATACCCCCATATAATATAAAAACGTGTTTATTTATAGTATATTGGGTTTTTAATATTATCATTAATATTGGTTATTTGATAAAATTTCAAGTTCCTGTGATGTAAATAATATAAATCCGTGATATAACGAGATTTTTTTAGATTTAAGTGTTGGACATTTCATTCGCCTAGAAATTAATCTTTAGTATGAAAACTCAATATGATAGTAGCTTTAGGGACCATTTCTCATATTGTAACTCTGGAAAAATAAATACGATGGTCTGATCACATCGCGTTAACACTTTTGTATCCGCGGATTTCAAAAGTTGCCGCTATTTAAACTTATTTGAAGAGTCGTCAAGGGAAGTAACTCAGGTAAACAAACAAATTATTTTTTCTGATTTAATTTGAAATAAATCACACAATTAGTGATATAAATTCAAGAAACACTTGAAAATATAACAATTACTTCAATATTTGCGTCTCAACCTTTTTCTCTAAATATAACTCTTTATATATCTCGTGAAAATTTAGCGATAATCCTTTCGTCACATATTTTCGCGTTATTATTCTTTACTAACATGCTCACTGAATTTCGAAAATAAGGGTACATGTACCCACTGAATATTAGGTTTTCATTTAAAGATATGGTGCATAGTAGTTAAAAGATGTTATTTTTATCTTAAACTTAAAAGAAAGTAGGTAAAGCCTAGGCAGATAGATAGTCCAAAGACATAAACTGCGGATTTGATTTTGAAGCTTTTTTTCACATTGGTAAAATCTTCTTTAACTTTAAAAGCAATGATCAAGTGATTGAATATATTACTTATTTCAATTTCAGGTAAAGAAAATGAGAAATTTTTCAGGAAGACAGATAAAAATTAAAAAATAATGGGCTGCTTAAACTCCATTATTCGGTCCAATTTTTTTGTTTCTCATATTTTTGCTCTACTGGTTGGGGACCACCAAAACCGGACAACCACCAAACCCGGACGGCTCCGAAAATGCTTAATTTAGTATTTTCTTTGTTCAGTGGTTGTCAGTCACTTTTTTATCAACAATAAGTGCATGTTTCTTTTAAAATTAAGTAAATAAATTTATTTCAACCTCCGTAAATGGTAATATTTTAATGTCTATTTCAAGAATGTTGATGTTGAAATTCGGGGGTCAAGAAAGCAATGCCTGACCTCATATACCAGCTATAATCATTTGCAGAGTGAATAATAGAATATCCAAAACTTCAGCATTTGTTGCTGACATATTGTAGATCATGTTACAATACAAAAATCAAAACTTCCAAGCTTTTATCTGAATTAAATCACATCATGTACATATATGTCCGGACACATGGTACTGTAGTGAAGACAATTTAGGTAACTTTGAAACCCTCCTTGTCGAGCCTCAGATATAAGTGTCAATACAATCAGAAATAAACAAACTAGTTTGTTAGTTAGGAGAAGAACCTAGCTGAACTGCGTCAAATTTTTTGGTCTCTAGGTTAAAAATTATGAAATCTGTACGGAAAAATGTCCCAAAAGTGTCCGGTTGATGGTCCCTGACCAGTATAGGTGTCATTTGGTTTTTCTATGCATGTTTCCATTTTCAATCAGAACAGATGAGCAGAAAAATTGATATTGCTCCATATATACCTCACCAATTATTATTAAGTTAATTCAAAATTGGGGCACCCATGAACCACAAATGACACTGGAAATTTTACTGATAGGTATATTTTTTTTTATTTGATTTCTGTACCATTTAAAATAGTCAAAATATATTGACGTGCCAAAGCTTGATTCTGAGATATTTTCGTTCTGGGGCAGAATCTCGCTTTAGAGGCGAGATATTGCCCAGACACGAAAATAGCACAATATCTCGTCGCGCAGTACAATTAGTTGGACTACATTTAAATATACCCATGTTGTGTAAAGCGGAGCAGGCCATAAGCAGGCCTGGCCTTTGACTTCTTGATTTTGCCACAGGTTGTTTCATTAATTATTAATCTGGATACTGTCAAACTTGTGTCATAGGCAAAAATTATGAAAATTGGAAAAATTTGAGAGTCAGTGTTGTGAGAGATAGTTAAACCAGTAAATTGTAATTATCAGGATAGTGACTAAATTTCAATATGCCATTTGCAATGCACAGTCCAAAAATACAGGAAAATTATACCATGTGTCCTGAAATATTTCAAAAATGTTTGTTTACTGGGTGTCTGATTATTACACCTTTTATTGGTTTTTAATCTGTTGGAGACAATTCAACAATATTTTCATTCTAGATAATTATATGCATATTTTATACTTTGTCTAGTAATACAATTTTCATTAAGAAATATATATATAACTTATTATAAAGATAATATGTTTTAGAGGTGTTATGATTCGTTCTGACGCATTGAGTTTTAGTCCCCTATTACCTATCTACCTGTCGGTTATCTGCTCAGTGGGTGCATAGTGTTATTTTTTCAGTAAGCAAATCAGAATGGCTTCAAATGTCAAAGTAGAAAAAATTAATCTAATTAAATTCTACATTAAAACATGAATAAAGGATATATATTTCACTAACTTTTGTAATTGAGTGGGCATGCTGTATAAATGTTTTGTGAAAAGGTTAATTATTTAATTTTCAGCCCTGTCATATCTGTTATTTCAATAGAGCTGTTATCGATAGAGACAAAATTGATGCATTGTTGATACTTTTCTGTCAATCAATAATCAATACACATTTAAAAAAAAAATCGATAATTTGGACTAACTAATTAAATGTAAAGAAATTATGAAGATTCACCAAAACATATACAGAGGCAGTTATCTACATGTATGTCTAATATTGTGCTGTTGTTGTATAGTGGAATATTTCAAAGCAATGGTGACAAAAAAGTATGGTGTGGGAAAGAAATTATGCAATGGGCTTTTATAAACAAGACACTGAACAGAACATGTTTTTAACTGAAATCATTTTAACAGGTATGAAAGTGAATGGCAGACAAGTCATTTTAGGTCATTATCGATATACCGGTGTATCGTTGATATTTGTCACCCAATATCGATATAAGCAGGGTTTCTATTGACGCACATTTCCTGCGTCCTTGACGCAAAAATAGTAACCTAGGACCCTCAATTACTCTAAGTCTGCGTCCACAGGGACGCAAATTAAATTTTCCTCCGTAAATGTCATTTGAAAATTCCATCCGCTTCTTTAAAGGAAATGACGTAATTTTGTAAACCGGTTCTAATATTGAATACAGCAGTTATCTTTCTTTCAATTAATTACAGTTTAATACGGAATAAAACGGCGCAAACTAGAATTTAGTCGACCTTAAAAAAGCGTCCTAGTCTATACATTGCTATGCAAATAAATCGTAAAACATGTCCGCTGCTTCCCCCAAAGAAATCACGTAGTTTTAATGAAAAGTCGCTAAGTACTTACCGTGGCTCGTCCAAAACAAGAAGACCATGGGTATGAAATGCAACCAATGCGTCTCAACCAAAAAATGTAATCCATTTGCCTGGGAAAATGGATGTTTGAACTTCCAGAATAGTACATAATAAAGTGGTCCGTCATCAAGAGTCTAAAGATTTATTTAACAAGGATAATAAAAATGCATATGTAGTTGAACAATGTATATAAATGTAAAGAATTAAACCTAGACAATATAAATAAGTAATACCTTACTTTAAAGTAATAAATGATTAGGACCCTCATATTTTTCTCTGGGACCCTCATATTTTATGAGCACGAGTCCCTGGGACTCTTAAATAAAACTTCCTAGTAGAAACCCTGTATAAGGTTGATATGTTTTGCACTCACTGGAATCAATGACAGCTCTATATTTCAATTGACACCCTTATGTTACTAAGCTCAATTAAGGCACTGCGTATCTGTAAAAGTGGATAAAATCTTAGTAGATGTAAACTGTGTTAAGCTGATAGCTCAGATTTAGAATTTTGATTATTTAATACCACACTAATTTCTATTACCGGTAATGCCCTACTTATTTCAGATAAACATGAGGGAAAGGAAGAAGAAAAAGTTTGAAAGTGGTAACAAGGCAGGTGGAGATGTTGTACAGAAAACAAGTGATCAGACTCAGTTAGTTGAATGATACCATACAAGTATTTACTTGTGCCTTTATTTCTGTGGAGGTTTTTGCATAAAACATTAACAATTTCAGTAACATGTATATTGTTGTGATTTACATTTTGAAAATCATGTTTAAAGTGCAGCTGTCAGTGCATACTTTTCATTTGTTACTGTGCACTTTTTATACACATGTATTGTCTGATGACGATGATACACTATTTCAGTCAACAGTTTGTCTTCAGATTATGACTCTCATCTGTTGTGTTTTTTTTTAATATAAGACATATCAACCTGAGGTTGTTGCTGCTACAGAAAAGAAATACAGAGAATTTTTTTAACAACAATAGCAGAATATCATAATTTATAAAATGATACTGAATGAAAAACATCTGTAAAAGATTGATTATTATGAATATACAATAGATTTGTGACTTGATAATATGTGCTAGCAAAACATCTTTAATCAGTTAGTTTAACATATTTAATTCATTTAATGTATTTCAGAAAACCGTCATCAGACTGGTATGTTATATATCTAGGAGGATATAGTGTAGTGGTTTTGTTTGTATATCTGTACACCATGTATCCATCAGTACCTGGTGGTGATTCTGGTAGGTCCAATGATGTATGACTTATATGTATCTATAATACCAGAAATTTATTTATTTGTATTAAAACTCACCAGTCACAACTATTAATTGGAGAAGGTTCCTCAAACCAATATGCAGCTCAGACACTTTCAGTGTAAAAACATTATCATACTGTATTGTTTTTACGTTTTTTTTGGAAAGATAAAAATTTACTGTATGATTTTCATATCATTTTTTTCACTTTTATTGTACAATTAAATTTACTGTTGTTTGATTTACTTATTGAATTAACATGTTGATGTTTGTATGTATCAACTATTGGGAGTAATTGTATTTTTCCAGGTGAATTGATTGTAGCTGCACATGAGTTAGGGGTAGGTTAAGTTATTTTTGCATGTACATGTACTTATCTATTATTGTATTTGTGTTTATCACAACTGTTCATAAAATAGTGTGGCTATCTAACTCACCCATACTTCAGTGTAATACTTTGCTTTAAGTTTAGGTGTAACTTTTTATACAACTATTGTCTTAATTGGAGGTAATTGTTCAAGGCCCATAAATCTAGCATTCAGAATAAAGTTTTCTCATGCAATATTAATCTGCAGTACAATTAAAGGTATTCTTTTGAAACTTAATATCATTATTGAAGGTCACATTCCAAGGTCTGTAACTGTTACATGAATTATTCCTGAATAATGACCCTTTGGGAACTTGGATAATTTCTGGTAAAAGTTTTACATGAACAAGATCAGTTTTTAAAACTAGTGAATGTATTCACTAGAAGCTTCACAAATGTCTCTTACATCATAAAAATTAAGATTAATTTTTCCAGGCTCTTTTACTATATAATGTATTCTGAGTTAAATCCTACATCATTACTTCTTACTTAAAGGTGTATTTTTTGCTGATTTTCTCGAAGCTATATTTGATATTTAAAGGTAATTTTGTATTTTATTACAGGTAGCTCACCCACCTGGCTATCCATTATTTACACTTTTACTTTGGTCAACATTCAAGATAATACCATTTGGCACTGTGGCTTGGAGAGCTAATCTACTAAATGCTGTACTCTCTGCCGGGGCAACCTTTGTTTTCTCTCTTACCCTATATAGGTAATCATCTTATATCTCCAGTCAGCTAGTTATATCCTTGTGCCTTCTAAAGTTGGTTTTTTGAAGATACATAAAGAATTCCTGTAAAAATCATTAATGATTTCTTTTATTTATTTTTCTATGAAAAGGGGCTTGCTTTTTCAGAATTTATATTTTCACGTACTTGTCATTTATACTATAATGCATGTGGCATTTAACTGTTTGAAATGTTTAATGCATTTGACGATTTGTTTATTTTGTGAAAGAAAACTACAATATAATTGTAATACTGTATATTGCAGGTATACTAGAAGTATAGGTTTATGTATTATTGGAGCTACAATGTGGTCATTTAATGAGCTAACATGGACATGGTCTACCACAACAGAGGTGTTTAGTCTTAATAATCTGTGTATAGCTTGCCTATTGTATCTCATGGTACAGTTTGAATCTACAGATACACATAGGAAATGTAAGGTAACCATGGTGAAATTATATTGACTTAGTTCAAAATGAAAGGGTCATGTATGCCTTAATTTATTTAAAAAAAACTTTTTTTTTTCTTTGGCTTTAAATGATTAAGTTTTGTAATTAATGAGCATAATATCATATCTATAGTTTATACATGTGTCTGTCAAAGGGTTGATAAATTACATTAACAGTTGTAATTACTGCTATTTGGTAAGTTAAAGAGAGATATATCAAGTTATAACAAATATCTCATGTTGTATTTAAAGGGTGATTTTGATGAAATATTACAGGTAGCATATATGGGTTCATTTATGTGTGGAATATCACTATGTAATCAGCACACCAGTGTTGTATATGTGGCTGTGATAGCTGTATGGGTACTCTATGAACTTATCATCATCAAGGTATATATTCTTTATTATTAACCAACTTACTATCACCATGTTATACATGTGTCACAGTTCAGAACTGTTCACTATTTAGGGGAGATAGTGTGTAAGGGGCCAGATAGCTCAGTCGGTAGAGCTGCAGTACGGTATTCGGAGGGTCCCGGGTAAGAGTCCCAGTCAGGCTGCACATTTTTCTCACCCTGTGACATTTGGCGTCCAACGGGGGACAGTGATGGTATATAGCTCTGAGTTCAATTTCACATTGTTTTCTTTACCCATTAGAAATTCGAGGACCAATTTCAATATAGCAGGGGAGTATGTTACTGTTCAGTACTGTTCACTATTTAGGGGAGATGTCTCTGATATTACAGTACTTTTCAAACAGTTAAACTAAACAATGGAAGAATGTATCAGTATGGATAATAGAGTCCTCAGCATTGTAGTCACAGACTATTGCGGGTCTAATATGCTAACCACTACACCACCAAGGCCTTGACATCTTTTTCTTTTTAATTGTCCTTATATTGTGACAACATTTTTATTATCAGAGTTATGAGCTATTTATAACTATTTATCACCATTGTTATTGACTGATTCAGTTACAATTTCTTGTAATATTTTCTTATCACAAATAGATTTTTAGCTCAACTATTCGAAGTAAAGGGAAAGCTTTTGTACTCATCCAGGTGTCAGTGTCACACTTTGGTTTTATTTTTTGGTTGCAAATTGGTATTTCCAAAACAGAATGGATTTAAACTTCACACACTTATTTGAGAGTATAATAGGAGGTAACTATGTAAGGCCCATAACTCAATCATGGACTTGAACAGAATTATGGACCTTTTTTAACTTAAAAATTCTACATTCTCTAGACTCTTGGTTTACTATCAAACACTGAGAGTAATCGAGCATGCTGTCCTACTGACAGCTCTTGTTTAAAACACCATTACATTTATATTGAACTGTTTTTCAATCAATGAAAATTAAACATCTATTTTATCTTATTAAAGCACAAAATATTTGTAAGTTGAGTTGCTTGTTACATTCAGGAAATAAATTTATCTATCTGTTTTGTTTTTTCTGACTCTTTCAGGAACTGACAGTGAAGGTTTTACTATTTGTTTCATTCAGCTTCCTGTTTGGACTAGTTCCCTACATCTACTTACCTTTATCATCTTGGTTCCACTCAGCTAGATATACTTGGGGGAACCAGTCCTCTATTGAAGGTTTCATGAAACATCTACTAAGACAAGAGTATGGTACATTTAGTCTTGCTAAAGAGGTAAATGACAGAAATGTTTATATTCTATCTCTGCTAAAGCCTGAGAATGGACAGAACTTTAGAGGCATCCAGGGCTGAGTGGTTTGTAAGGTTGTTGACTTCAAACCGCTTGCCTCTCACTGCTGTGGTTTTGAATCCGGCTAGGGACTTTGGGTTCTTTGATGTGAGGAGGCTATCCAGCTATCTTATAGAATATCAGTGGTTCTACTTTGGTGCCTGTGTGTGCCTTAATTATTGCAAGGAGGGAAATCTGGGGTCTTCCTCCACCAGTAAATCTGGAAAGTTTCCATATGACCTCTTCTGTGTTGCTGGGATGTTAAACTGAATTATTACAAATGCTTGGCAAAAGTTTCCCATGCACTGGATTATAGACCTTTTTATACAAAAATATAAAAAAACACTGAAAATGTTAAGTGTAATAAAGTAACAAGTTTATTTTACTTAATTACTTACTATGTCCATGTGTATTGAACAACAACCCAGTAATTCATTGGTTTAAAGATGTTAAGTGTCGTCTATGCATTTATGAATTTATTTTAGCAACTCAAATGATACATGAACATAATGAAATTATTTTTAATTAAAAAATTAAATATGGTATTGTCTTTAGTTCATAGTAAATATCTGCTTTCACTTGCATGTATACTTCCATTTTATATGATTTCCACATACAAGGCAATTATAAGATGTAGAGGTTATATCTAAACTTCATGGTTTTATAATGATATTTTAGGGAGATGGCTCACAACATAATATACTGGATGGATTAAGGTAACCTCATGATTTACATAATTTGATATTAAGATATGGTATTAATTGTCAGAGCAGCAAGAATAATAAAACACTTGTCAGTATGTGTGTTCATAAAGAAAAGCATTTTAAAGTTCAGAATTTACAGCCATTAAGTGTGTTCCATGCATGTATATTGCCAGTAATTGTGTTAATGCTTCATGCTGGTTATATGTGTTTTTATCTGATATTATAAGCCTCTCAAAGAATATTATGTGACTGTTTCTGGAAGGTGAATGGTTGGAGCATTTTTTAACATGTGTAGACAGATTTTAGTATTACTTAATCTGAATCATCATCACTGTAAGACATGTCATGCACACGAAACTGGTCTCTAGGTCAAAGGTCCAAGTCACATTTAGAGGTTAGAGGAAAATGCTTGTCCTGAGCAAAATTTCTTCATGCATTAAGGGATTTTAATAAAACTTGATGCCTTTGTGAGGCAGAGTGTGCTTGGCAAAATTTTGTCCCTGTAGCCAAGGTCAGTGTCACATTTAGAGATAAGCATAATGCAGGTCAAAAATGAAAGGTCAAGGCCACCAGAGATGATGAAATGTCATGCCTATATTTTTCTATGTATGGATAGATTTTGGTATTACTTGATACCAATATATACCAGCATGAAAAGTAGAGTGTTGTACATAAAGCTGATATCTAGGACTGGTTGTGTTGTTGCAGTTACAAATTGACTGCACTTTTCATTGGTTAGGTTGTTCTTTTTGGTGACCAGAAAGTTTAAAATGAAGGTCACTCTTCAGGCACTTTTGTTTTAAGTATCGTTTTATATTTCACTTATTTTTTGATTTGATGAAGACTAAAAAAAGAAACTTTATTCAACCTCTAGATTATTGTTAACATTAAATATATGATATATTTGTATATTATATAGGGTGTATGGATGGCATGTTCTGTCAGAGTTTACTGTAATTGGAGCTGTACTTGTAGCTGCTGCTGTTTTATACTCTATAATGGAGAAAAGGTAGTTGTTTTCTTATGATAATATTGCTTATCTGGACTTCATTTCATAGAAATTTCTAAGTGTATATTTAGTCTTAGGACATAAGATGAACATTAGACTAACTTAAGACTGTTTCAATTAACATTTTTATCTTTGGTCAAGGTTTTTATACTTAAATTTAATTCAGCTTCCAGAGAAAGTTAAGAAATGCAATGTCATTGTCTTTAATTCACAATGTGTTGATGTTCCTTGGCATTTAGAAATTAAATGGGTCATAACATAGGAGTCAGAAGTTATGACATTAAAAAAAAACACATATATTTGCTTAGTTTGGTCTTAAGACTGATTTTAGACTAAGGACATCCTAGGAACACAAACTAAAATATTTTATCAAGATCATATTGCTATTGTTCCATTTAAGTCAAATATGTTTGTTTTGTAACATTTAGTTAAATTACTTATTACTGTAATATTTTTTTCAACTGGGATATATTTCAAATGTAAATATATGTTCCTAAACAACACATACAGTATTTGTGATCAGGTTCATAAGTCTAACACCTATATTTCCAGGACTGCCTTCATTTTGTTTTTGACAATCTGTTTGAAAATGATGATTTATTTTGTTACTTTATCTTTGTTTCTGATGGTATCTGCTAAAGACTTTAGATAATAGTGTCTTGTCAGTTACTCAATGAGGGTCATAACTCTCTCATCTTTATTTCAAGACACATCTTCTCTTTGAACTAGCAGCTTTATTTCACAAGTTATTTGACTTGTAATACTGATGTTGTTTCAGACGATGTTCAAGCTTGCTAGTTACTATGGTGATGTGTCTCTTATATTTGATATTGTTTTCATGGAGAGCCAATTTGAATCTTGACAATCAGCTGTTCCTTGGAGTGGTACATCTTACTTTTAATAAGTGAATCCTAGGGTCACATTCTGTTGTTGTTTCATTCATTTGTTGCCAATTTGATAATCTGCATGATGTACTGTTTATAAAGTTGTTTGCAACAAGTTTGAAAATAGTTTTATTATATGCCCGAAAGAATTTCGGGTATATTGTGTTATACCCCATGGCGTCCGTCTGTCCATCCATCCGTCCGTCCGTTAGCAATTTGGTTTCCGGAGCATAAAGTTCCATTTGGCCCACAGTGTTCAAACTTCATAGGATGATTGCCCATATTGGATAGAAGACCCCTATTGATTTTGGGGTCACAAGGTCAAAGGTCAAGGTCACTATTAGCTTACTACTGAAAATGGTTTCCGGAGCATAACTTAAGTTCCATTTGGCCCACAGTTTTTAAACTTCATAGGATGATTGTCCATATTGGGTAGAAGACCCTTATTGATTTTGGGGTCACAAGGTCAAAGGTCAAGGTCACTATTACCCTAAAGACTATTAAGTTCCATTTGGTCCACAGTATTCTAACTTCATAGGATGATTGTCCATATTGGTTAGAAGACCCCTATTGATTTTTGGGTCACAAAGTCAAAGGTCAAGGTCACTATATTACCTTAATAATGAAAATTGTTTCCGGAGCATAATTTAAGTTTCATTTGGCCCACAGTATTCAAACTTCATAGGATAATTGTCCATATTGGGTAGAAGACCCCTATTGATTTTGGGGTCACAAGGTCAAAGATCAAGGGTTCTATCTTCTTAAAACTGGAAACAGTTTTCGCTCAATAACTCAAGTATTAATCAACCTACAGCTATAAAATTTTATAGGGTTAACAGCTTTATATCTCTGACGTCTTTTCGTCCATCCGTTGTAGCATTTTTACTTACAAGATAACAACTTGATGGTGGTGCTTTGAAAACAGCAACTGTATATATACATGAAGGTTCTTCAGCTATAAAGGAGGATTGCTTTTTGAAGGAGGTAATACAGTACTGTATTTAATTCCCATGTCTTACAAATGCTTCATCCTTACTAAAAGAAAAAGTACTTTCGGGCATATAATGCTTTGCCTAGCAGTGCTCTTGTTTATTTAATGTCATGTTTTCAAAATCATTATTATTGTTTTAGAAGACATTTATTAATTTGATAGCATATATTATTAACAATTGCTGATATAACAAGACAAGACAAACATGTTTCTATTGACAATGTGATAAGATGTATTAAGGCTGAACTTTTGGTATTAATTATCAGTTATTATTAGTTATTGTATTTTGTAAAAACAGAATATATGCCATTGTCTGCAAAGTGACCTTATGCCCATCCCTGGATAATGAAGTGAACAAGTAAAAAAATCAAAATAACTTGACATTTTACCGTAATTGTGTTCAATTTTATATTTTACTATGAAAAATAATCAATAATCCATGTGACTAATGGAATTTTCTATAAATAATGTTCAGAATGTATCAGTAATGTTAAATTCTTAAAAAGAATGGGACAGTCTATAATTTAGGTCAATTTTTGTACATTTTCATGATAAATTATTGGTCAATCACTAAGAGTCAATCTTTTGAAATGTAAAACTAATTCAAGTTTACATCTTGACTAAGAAAAAAGTGAGCATAATGTCACTTTAAATATTGTACATGTACTATAGATAGCATGATTATATTGAAATATATGTTATATATTATATATAAATGTAGGTTGAGAGATTTTGGATGCAATCTGACATGATCATAGTGTTACTAGCTGTTGTTGGTCTGTCAGCAATATTTAGGTTTGTCTCAATCTTATTGTCAGATATTTAAAAGGACAGTTCTGTTATTCATTTTATTGTTCTTCAATACTTAAAAAGTAATATATGAATTAAAGATCATGCATAACTATAAGGATAACTTTTATGTTGCTTTTTGTTACTGAAATACAAATGGGAAGAATGCGAAGTTGAGTATCTAATACCTTATAGCAAAATGCTTTAGTTGTAAATGTATAAACATAGTGCAATATTTAAATTTTCTATATGCAGGTCAATAGAAACCTGGCTAACTTCAAAAAGTAGAGCAGTTATTGAACTAACTATGGCTGTTGCAGTCTTTGCTATGTACATGGTAAGTTTTATTATCCATTTTACCAAAAATAATCTATTTATCCCAGATTTATATCTGGTTACATTTGGACATATAGGCAGAATGAGAATTGTATGATGAAATTTATTTTAGATTATACTTGTATGATCTTCGAGTATGATAACAAAAACATTCTGAAAAAAGATGACAGTAACTGAGCTTGTTTTCAAGTAAATTGTTGTTCACACTGTTGTCTAGAGAATAACGTAAAAATATTGAAGGCATTTAATTAAAACTTAACGTAATGATCGGACCAGTCAGAGGAAGTGCAGCGTCTAATTACTTTATTTTGCTTGATTTTTAAATTATCTGTTTTAAGTTAAAAGTGACAAAAAGTTCACCATCATGAGACTTAGTGTCCTGTACATTAACAGGGTCTCTAGGGTCAAAAAATAAGGTCAGATGAATACGCTTGTTTATTTTGTAACTTTTACATTACAAAGATTGATTTTATAACTTGATACCAATGTAAAATATTCAGGTCCTTTGTCCAAGGTCAGTGTGACTTGCAGAGGTTTAAAGTCAGATAAGAAAATGAAAAAGTAATTATTGAGCATAAAATCATTAATTGACAGATTTAATGTTAGTGTTCACTATTATGAGACTGAGCATTTGCAACAGTAATGTTTTGTGGAAAGAAAATGCACTATTCATTGATAATTTGTAAAGCTTAAAAGACATTCAGCAATAAAAAGAGTTATAATGTGATCTAAATATAGCTGCAATCTCATTGGTCCAAACAGTAGTCAACAGAACCTTTTTTTTAGAATCATATTCACTGGGTAAAGTATCACATTCACTGGCTGAATTGGATTTTCCCAGTCTAAAAATAGATTGAGACTCATATTCAATGACCATATATCGTGGACTGTTAATAACGCTTGCTTATTAAAAATTAATTGTTGGGTTTTGTTCTTTATTGCATATTTCTCTATCAAAATATCATTACTTTACTATTATAAGGTTACACCGCAATGGTAAGTATAAACTTGAATTACTTTTGTATGCACAGGGTTTGCATATTTGTTGCATGCCTGGCACATGCATTTTTCCCCGTTGTATATGAAAGTTGTACATGTATAAGATTGTACTTTCTGTGATTTTTGTGTCGCCTTGAAAAGGTGACATATAGGGGTAACTTTCGTCGGCGGCGTTGGCGGCGTCGGCGGCGTCTGTGTCGTTGTCGGCGTCGTTGTCGGCGTCGTCGTCGGCGTCCCCTAAAGCTTGTCCGGAGCATAACTCAGTCACTATAAGTCTGATTGACTTCAAACTTGGTATGCATGCTTCTTTCAATAACCCGAAGTGCAGTGCACAAGGACCGGTACTCTGCAGTTCTTATTTTTTGAGTTATTGCCCTTTGTTAATTTTCATACTTTAATTTTGTCCGGGCCATATCTCTTCAACTAAAAAAGCTATGGACTTGAAACTTCATAGGATGATAGATCTCATTAAGAAGAAGTGCAGTGCATAAGAACCGGTACTCTGCACTTCCTAATTTTTGAGTTATTGCCCTTTGTTAATTTTCATACTTTATTTTTGTCCGGGCCATTTCTCCTAATGTATAAAAGCCATGGACTTGAAACTTCATAGGATGATAGGTCTCATTAAGAAGAAGTGCAGTGCACAAGAACAGGTACTCTGCATTTCTTGTTTTTTGAGTAATTGCCCTTTGTTTATTTTCATACTTTAATTTTGTCCGGGCCATTTTTGCCCTTTGTTAATTTTCATACTTTATTTTTGTCCGGGCCATTTCTCCTAATGTATAAAAGCCATGGACTTGAAACTTCATAGGATGATAGGTCTCATTAAGAAGAAGTGCAGTGCACAAGAACAGGTACTCTGCATTTCTTATTTTTTGAGTTATTGCCCTTTGTTTATTTTCATACTTTAATTTTGTCCGGGCCATTTCTCCTTAAGTATAAAAGCTATGGACTTGAAACTTCATAGGATGATAGATCTCATTAAGAAGAAGTGCAGTGCACAAGAATCGGTACTCTGCATTTCTTTATTTTTGAGTTATGGCCTTTTGTTGATTTTCATACTTAATTTTTGTCCAGGCCATTTCTCCGAAAGTATAAAAGTTATGGACTTGAAACTTCATAGGATGATAGATCTCATTAAGAAAAAGTGCAGTGCATAAGAACTGATACTCTGCATTTCTTATTTTTTGAGTTATTTCCCTTTGTTGATTTTCTTACTTTATTTTTGTCCTGGTCATTTCTCCTCAAGTATGAAAGCTATGGACTTGAAACATCATAGAATGATAGATCTTATTGATAAGAAATTCAGTGCACAGATATGCTGCTCTGCACTTATTATTTTTTTAGTTATTGCCCTTTGTTGTTTTTCATATTTCATTTTTGTCCTGGCCATTTCTCCTAAACTTCATTGTTCACAAGGCGACACATCCGACTCGCGGAAGTCTATTTTTTAAAAATTCTTATGAACCCTTCATATAATAAAACAATTATTGACTAGTGTGCCATTGAATATGATGTGATATTCACCGGCAGAAAGTCAATCGGTCAATATGTCATCTGCCAGTAAATATCACATCATATCCATAGGCAAACTTGTCAATAATTGTATAATTTTTTTCTTATAGGGAAAGAACTTTTCAAATTGCAACCAGGGAACCAACACAGTTGTTGCAGAGTTTGGTTCCAGGCTTTACCACAATATGCCTCAAAATGCTCTGGTTCTAACAGTTGGTGATCTCCCTTCTAATGTTCTAAGGTGATGTATTCTCAAGTTTATTTACAATTTGAGCTAGGTACAAATATAATTATATGTATATCAAATTTCATTCAGAATTAATAAAACATGCACTATTGAGAGTATGATATGCACCACTTTGTGTTTATGTTCAACTTATGTTAAAAATTAACCCATAACCTACTGAATTTATGAATTTTTCTCTTTTCTTTATTTTTACTTCAGTAGTTCCAGGAACTTCATAATTAATATTCTTATCTGTGTATTGTGACATTAAACAGATTTTGACTTTATAAAATTCAATATCATCATTAACTGCTCATAATAACAGACCTACACTGTATGCTACTAGTAAAGTTAGATCAGCTTGCAGAACATGCAGTCTTAATACAATCTATACTATATGCTGCTCAATGTTAATTAATATTTGAGAAATATTGCAGGAAATAAATGGTAAAAATGTCATCCTATCTGACAGTGAGGTGTATATTATAATTGTTTTGCAACTTATTCTATTAGTTTGAGTATTAAGAGTGGCATTGAATTCTAAAGTAATGTAAACTTGAATAATGATTTCAATATTTTAACTTACAGGTACTTGTATTTATGTGAAGATGATCGCCCAGATGTTACAGTTTTAGATCAGGAGGTAAACATCATTTATTACAAGTATTTACTGCTTGAAATAATGTTGAAGTACTTTCATAACTAAATCATGAGTTTTCCAGTTGAAAGAGTTTATAAATTTGAAATATATGTATGTAGATATTGATGAGTACCATTGATTTAACAGTTCTTTAAGTATTGAAAATGGGTAACATTCTAAATTGTTTATTTTACTACAATATTGTTATAATGGACCATTTATTACTCCAACACTATTCATATTATATCATTGAGAAAATTTGAAATTGGAAAGAATTCTTTTAAAAATTACACAATATTTTCCCCTGTTTTATAGACATGAATAACATGCTTTAAGATTGAGTTGCTGTAGCCTAAATTTGGTCAACACAAACTTCACCTGACCTTGTTTCCTGTATTGATTGAAAGTTACTTGACCTAGTTTTCTGTATTGATTGAAAGTAACCTGACCTAGTTTTTTCTGTTGATTGAATATTACCATGATTGAATATTACCTGACCTTGTTCGCCAATGAAATCTGTTTACTATCGACTAATCATATCTTACCATTTCTTTTTAATCAGCCATACAAATCGTACCATTTTTCGGCTAATCAAAATCTACCTACTAAACGTGGTTCGGCGCTATCTGTCAAAAATCGTTTCTGCATTGTTCTCCCTATGAAAAGTAATTTTATTAATTGATGGCCAAATTGAAAGGTAAAAAACTATGTTCTCAGGCGTGTTGCTAAGGTTTAAACTAATAAACCTTCTCATGTGTGAAATAAAGTTTAAAAAAAACTAAGATCTATAGAATTTACTGTGTTGGTCTGTTATAGAAGGCGTACGCGTATAAGCGTCTTCCCCCCTTTAATATTTGTTTTAACATTATAAATATGATTTGCAACAAATGAAGCTATCATTAAACATAATTATTAGGTTTTTTTTTTTATTCCCTATACAGAAGGAGTATGCGTATTAGCGTCTTCCCCCCTTTTTAATTTAAGTTTAAATTTTAAATACAGCTTTTTAATCTTACTGGCCGGAGACCATCAAGCGGACACTTTTGGAACATTTTTCCGTACAGATTTCATAATTTTTAACCTAGAGACCACAAATTTTGACATAGTTCAGCTAGGTTCTTCTCCTAACTAACAAACTAGTTTGTTTATTTCTGATTGTATTGACACTTATATCTGAGGCTTGACAAGGAGGGTATCAAAAGTACCTAAATTGTCTACACTACAGTACCATGTGTCCGGACATATATGTACATGATGTGATTTAATTCAGATAAAAGCTTGGGTGTTTTGATTTTTGATTTGTAACATGATATACAATATGTCAACAACAAATGCTGAAGTTTTGGATATTCTATTATTCACTCTGCAAATGATTATAGCTGGTATATGAGGTCATGCATTGCTTTCTTGACCCCCGATTTTCAACGTCAACATTCTTGAAATAGACATTAAAATATTACCATTTACGGAGGTTGAAATAAATTTATTTATTTAATTTTAAAAGAAACATGGACTTATTGTTTATAAAAAAGTGACTGACAACCACCGAACAAAGAAAATACCAAATTAAGCATTTTCGGGGCCGTCCGGGTTTGGTGGTTGTCCGGTTTTGGTGGTCCCCAACCAGTAGTGTGGGATATAATCCCACCGTTTTCCGGCCCCATCCAATGCAATTATTTTGCATTTTTGGGGCAGGAAATATTGTACTCACTAGTCACATATGCAGATATTAACTAAATAAAGTTTTTTCCCTGTAATAAATGAAGCATATGCTCGCCCATATGGTTTTAAACCGGCGGCGAGGGTAAATAAACCCAACACACACACCTGACCTTGTGTTCTCTATTGATTTAATGTTACCTGATCCAATTTTCTGTTTTGACTGAAGGTACTTGACCTAGTTTTCATTATTGATTGAATGTTACCTGACCTTGTTTTCTTTATGGATTGAATGATACCTAACCTAGTTTTCTCTATTGATTGGATGTTACCTGACCTAGTTTTCTGTTTTGATTGAATGTTACCTGACCTGGTTTTCTCTTTCAATTGAATATTACCTGACCTAGTTTTCTCTATTGATTGAATGTTACCTGACCTAGTTTTCTCTATTGATTGAATGTTACCTGACCTAGTTTTCTCTATTGATTGAATGTTACCTGACCTAGTTTTCTCTATTGATTGAATATCACCTAACCTAGTTTTCTCTGTTGATTTAATGTTTCCTGATCTAGTTATCACTATTATTAAATGTAACCTTACCTAGTTTTTCTCTATGGATTAAATGTTACCTGACCTAGTTTTCTCTATTGATTGAATATTTCAGCTGATGACCTATCCCTGGTATGTTCCTATGTTACGACACACTTATCCCAATGTCACATTTCCTGGACATCACATGGAGGCACAAACCGGAATACTGGACAATGGACAACAAGTGTTCAACTTTAAGACATTTCTTGATGCAAATATAAACAGGTTTTCTTATTCATCTTAAAAGCTTACTACAAATTAAACATAAAACTTTATTTGTTCCATTGTCATTTATATGATTTGCAAGTTGCAATGTTTTTGATTATCTCTAGGATATTTAGATAAGACTTGTATTTTGTTTAATTGAATTAAAGTTTAGAGAAGGGGACCTTTTAAGCTCAACTGTCACAAAGTGACATGGTGAGCTTTTGTGATCACTTTTCGTCCGGCCATCCGGCATCCTTCGTCCATAAACTTTTACTTTAAACGACATCTCCTCATAAACCGCTAAGCCAATTTCATCCAAACTTCACAGGAATGGTCCTTAAGTGGTCACCTTTAAAAATTGTTCAAAGATTTTAATTCCATGCAGAACTCATGCCATGGCAAGAGAAAGAAAAAACTTAAAAAATCTTCTATTAAAAAACCAAAAAAGCGAGAGCTTAGATATTTGGCATGAAACATTGTCTCATGAGTGTCTACCAAGTTTGTTCAAATAAAAGCCCTGGGGGTCAAAATTGGCCCCGCCCCAGGTGGCGTCATTGATTTTCCTTATATGTCTATAGTAAAAACTTAAAAAATCTTCTTTTAAAAACCCCAAAGTGTTAGAGCTTAGATATTAAGCATGAAACATCTTCTGGTGAGTGTCTACCAAGTTTGTTCAAATAAAACCCCTGGGATCAAAATTGACTCCGCCCCGGGGATACTGATTTTCCTTTTATGTCTATAGTGTCTACCAAATTCGTTCAAATAAAAGACCCAGGGTTAAATTGGCCTCACCCGGGGGTCTGATTTTCCTTATATGTCTATCGTAAAAACTTAATAAATCTTCTTTTAAAAACCCCAAAGAGCTAGAGCTTAAATATATATCATGAAACATCAAGTTGGTTAAAAAAAAGCCCCTGGGTTAAAATTAGCCCTGCCCTAAGGGCCTATATACAGGTGAGGGATTTCAGGGCCATAATGGCCCTCTTGTTATATTATATGAATTGACATTAAAGATACATAATGTTATGTATTGCATCAATTATCGTACGCCAATAATTTTAGATTGTATTCTTAGTGTTGAAACTTGTAAGTTTTACTATATACAATCTATGTAAAAAATGCCGGAAATCTATAAATCTCTTAAACTAATCAAATGTATACATATGTTATAGTAAAACTGCATACGAGTTTTGTTCTCCAGGGATTGTAATATATGTATTTATTGTTGGAACAATTTCAGGCGTCCTATTATTGGATGTATAGGTATGCAGGGACACGAGAAATCATGGGAGCAAAGCTATCATTTATTCCCATATGGTCCATGTTCTCTAGTAGTGAAAGCTGGTGGTAGACTTGATATAGAAAGTATATATAGTAGTACCAAGAATATATCTGATGGCTGGGGCTATCCTAATGAAGGGTATGTTTCATGAGAAAATTTTTAATTATGCATATTAGTTGTTTTAGGACATTGAAATGATGACAGTTTAAATCAACAGAGTAACTTGATTTATACTTGTATACCTTTATATCAGTTTTGTTATATTCTTTCTGGTCTTTCTGGGGCATTGATTCCAGTATGTTTAGTATTGAAGATTAAATACGGCTTAAGCTGGTGCTAGGGGGCATGAGAGATGTTTTACCTTTCATAATATCACATGAATAGTTTCAGTCAAAGCAAGTCTGCAATTTTCACCTGTTTTCTTTTGATTTCATTGCTTTCAAGGGATGTCCCTTTTGCAAATTTTTTTCTCAGTGGAAAACTCACTCAGTAAAAGATTCATATTTGATAAACATACTACAATGTATAAAGAAGTAATGTGACAATATCTTTTGAAAGTAATTTTATGTTGTAAACTTCCATCATCCTGATTTGTGTTGTAGATTTGATGCAAAGTCTTGGGAAAGAGTGGCAACAAATGAAATATGGAACGCAAAGTAAGAATATGTTTGATCAATTGTTAAGTGCACATTTATGATTCTGTAATGTTTAGATAAATTATTTTTTTATTGACATGTCAAAACACACTGATTTAAATCTTATTCTATTGAATGAATCTTTTTAATTCTGTTTGATATACTTGCCCAAAGGATTATGAATTGTTTATTGTATGTCTTGAGAAATTATTACAACTAAAATGGGGGCAAATCTGAGTCATTATCAACTGCAGCATTGTAGAGTGTCATTGTTTATATATTGTACATGTATAATTTTAGGATAAATGTGGCTCTGAAGTTGTATGAAATGGCTGTAGTGTTGAAAGAGACAGAAAACATGTACTCAGAGCTGATGATAAAATCATATGAGGTAATGTTTTTGGCTTGATTATTGTCAATGTTATATGAACATTAATCATTTATAGTTAATTATACATGTTTGACAAAAGTATATGCCCATGTTTACGTTTTTATTTTGATTTAAAAATCAAGTGGTTCTGTAACACAACAAATATTTGCGACCAATTAATATTTGTTTTATTCCTGGAAGGCAATAAAATGAAAACGTAAAGTTTGCATAAAATTAGTCTGAATGATTTCACAATTTGTTTAGTCAGAAAGAGTTTCGTCCGCATGTTGTTGATGCAATTCTACATGACCAAATACTCTATAAATGTTCTGATATCATGGGCACTAATTAAAATACAAGGAATATTCATAATGTTGTTTTAAAGCATTAATTTTTTTTAAATACCAAAAGCTTTGTCATAATTTGTAACAATACATGCTCATAGAAGTCTGGTGTCTGAAGTGTTTGTATACTGTATATACATGTATATAACATATATTTGATTTTATACATTTACAATAGAATTACTGTTAATGAAAGTCTGAGAAGAATTATTGTTGTTGAATTAAAGAATAGTGACATACAACATTGTACTATATAAATTTTTGATGATGAATATTTTTGCATAAACTTGGAAAATGAAAAAATAAGTATTAAACACTAAAATTAATATTTGCAAACATAAATTACAATAAGATTCAATAAAAAATTGACATGTTGACAAAAGTAAAGAAAAAAAGAACTAAAGCTATTGATATTATTAATGCTTATGATATTTCCTGTGCAGTAAAACAGCAAAGAATGTAAAAAAATATTTTAATATGAATGTTAATTTCAGCTTTATAAGGCAGCTGTGGAGAGTGAGGAAATTGAAGCTATTCCTGACTACTGGCACAGGAATTATGCTCTAGCATGTGAAAGATTGCTCAGAATCAAACATAACTATCCACTCAGTCATATCTTAAATGACACTATATTTCATTTTGAGAAATATATACAGAAAAATCCTACAGATGAAAGTGTACCAATCATTAAACAATCTATAAAACACTTGAAGTCATATGTTGGTAAAATGTAGCATGGAAGGTTCATTTCATGTTAAACATGAATGATGAAAAGTTTCTTCAGCAGGGATAATCATTTTAGTAATTATAAAAATACTCTTTATGAATCGAAATGTTGTTTTGTTATTTGATTTGTGCTTAAAAAGCAAAATGTTTCAACTTTTAAGTTTATAATATGTATATTAAGTATGTTTGTTATAAAAATTAGTGGTTTTATGGTATTTGTTGAGATGTGTTAAGTGATTTATGTCTTAAAGAGTACATGTATTAGCAAAAATGTAACTTCACCTCGAGATGACTCATGTATGTCTGTTCCTTTTTATTTCACTTTTACTGTATAAAGCATCAATCACATAATTTCCAAAATATATAGGTTATGGCAGGGATATAATAAAGTTTAATGTGTGTTTTACAAAGTAAATAGCAATAATATATGACAGTGGTTCTCACTAACAGCAAACAGGTTTACAGGGTACACTCTGTTATAAGGAACACTTCCCCTAGATTCTGATTATCCTTTATCTTTATTTTACTTCTGTATATAAAAATCTGTGATTATGGCATCCTCCCTTATAGCAAAAACCTAGTTATAAGAAACTACATATTCAGGTCCCTATCAAACATTGACTACTTGTATTTAGTTGTTTATAGCAAACTCTGAAAATGGATCTTATTTTTACCCTGACTGGTTTTCATACCTTGGCACCCTAGATTGGCAGATAACCCAACAATCTTTATCAAAGCAAGTAATCGATAATCTTTGGATTTTAAAAAACGGTTTAATCAGATATCATTACCATCACTTTTGCAACTGGCTATAATTACTAGACTGACAGTGACTGATGAAATTAAATAAATCTATAAAAAAATATACAATTAAGAAATGCTGCTTGTTATCTTGTGACTAAGATCTTAGATATGGATCCATATAACTTATTATAAGATAAGTTATAATTATGATATGTTGAATATTGCTGTATAATGGCTAAAGTGGAAATAGTGTGTAACTTCAAAACAGATAAATTATATTACATTTCAACACCCTTTTCATATTAAGGCTAATATAATGTCAGAACCAACATACAATAGTCAAGAAATTTTAAGTGTATAGATTTAACTTTTGACTATAAACTCATGGTTATGAATAAAAATAATAACTTGAATTGTGTTGCATGTAACAAGCTGTTTGTTATACTGTTATGTTTGCTTTATGTTGATTGTTAATAATAAACTTATTCCTTATATTGGTTATAAGAATCCTCATATAGCGTACAAAATGTCAAGGTCCCAATGAGTTCAGTATAACAGAGTTTCATTGTACTATTATTCCTTTCCATTCTTTATCAATCTAGTTATTTTTAGTGTTCACACAAGCATTTGACACCAACTGTTTATTTAATTTTAAATGTCTTGTACAACATTTTTTTATATTTTTATATGTCTTTTTTAAAAATAAATCCAGATAAATGTTTTCAAAAGATTTTGTTTTTTATTTTTATGCTCTTTAAAAGGGAGAGCATGAAGTTGCCACCTTGTCTTGTTTGTCTGTCACATTCTTGAAAAGTATCAAATCAAATTGATTAAAAAAAACTTCAGAAGGTGATACAATATTGAGCGGAATTGCATTGTCCAAGAAACTGTGTCTTGTTTATTGTTATATGCCCCAAAGAATTTCAGACATATTATGTTATACCCCTTGGCATCCGTCTGTCTGTCCGCACTACCGATAGAGATAGGGGGCATCTAACTGTAAACAAAACAAAAGAGAACAATAGAATTCATTCCGTAACAATACAATAAGGGGCCATGGCCCTCTATTAAACAAAAGAAAATAACAATAGAAATGGCCCTTTATCCCTATTCGGTCGAACGTCCGTCCGTTAGAAATTTGGTTTCCCGAGTATAACTTAAGTTCCATTTTGCCCACAATATTGAAACTTCATGGATGATTGTCCATATTGAGTAGAAGACCCTTATTCATTTTTTTGGGTCAAAGGTCAAGGTCACTTTTACCTTAGTTCCCTCTCAATAACTTAAGTATACCAACCTACAAATGTAAAATTTTATAGGATGAACTGCCATGTCCAATACATGACCTCTTTTGATTTGATTCAGAGTCAACTCGTCCCCTGGTCAACTCGTCACCTTTTTGGTCAACTCGTCCCTTGGACAACTCGTCCCCTAGTCAACTCGTCCCGAACTCGTCCCCTATATTTTATTATTATTTGTTTTTCATATATTTCATAAATTATTATAGACTGTTAAAATAATATATTATAAAATTACTGAATTGGACATATTTTGACGCTTTTTGTATGCGAATATTTGGAGTTTTTTTTCCTAATAATAAGTATATATATGCATAATTTTGATTACATACAGAAAAAAAAACACGAAGACGATCAATAGCAATACCATTTAATGTATAAAACATGTTTCATATGCAATGATAAAATATAATTTATACATTCAATATATTGACTTGTATTATACAAGAAATTCTGGAACTCAGTTTTTTCAGCTCCTCTTTGAGATCAATTTAAAGATTTATTTATGGAAATTTAATATTAATCTTTACTAGTTATTAGATGGCAATTAAATATTTGGTAATTACTTTTATGTTTTCAATCATGTTTCCATTCAATCAGTTAATATCCACTGCAAATATCATTGTACGGATTTTTTATTTAAAAAACAAAAATAATGAAAAAAAAATAACAAATAAAAATTCTTTGACAATTTTTATTCCAATACACTATATAAGATCATTTGGAATTGCAAGACCATTTGTCTGTTAATAATGAACATAAACACCACAAATGACTAACCTGTATTACAACTTCTGTGTTGCCAGTGTTCACAGCGCTCACACTAGAATGTTTCCTACAATCAATGCAGGGGTACATTGTCACAATTAACGACACAAATAAATTAAAAAAGTCACAATCAACAACACAAATAATTAAAATTGTCACACTTCACATGCAGTCTATAATCCAACCATATGGAATTCTAAGAAATGATTAATATGCACTTTAAAAAATAATCCAATGTTGATATAACGTACAACGCAAATGAGATTTTAAGAATAAATCTTATATTTATTAGGGCAAATTTTATATTGACAATTTTACAACAAATAATTATCATGTTTTTAATTAACACGATCCTTCTATAATGAGATCAATACGCACTGACATAAAGTTTTTAGCACTTCTAATTCCTGTTAATCTGTTGTCAGTCTTTAATCCATTTAGGGAGGCGGTAAAAATCAAAGAGTTGGACCTAATTTTAGTTTTAATTATCATTTAAAACTCCGATTTATTAAACATTAATTGAATGTTTGCAAACTTACCTGTCTTTGTAGTTTTACATCAAAGCTATGCACGTGCGCTTAAATAAAGATCATTAAAATTTGACGTAAAAAGACGTTATTTTATTAATATTTCGATATCAATCAAATTCATTATTAATTTTACATAAAATAACTATTTAAAGACATTGATTTAAAACATAATAGTGACGAATCGATAGAAATTAGGAGACGAGTTGACCATATTAGGGACGAGTTGACTCTTTGAGGACGAGTTGACCAGAAGTAGGGGACGAGTTGACCAAAAAGGTGACGAGTTGACCAGAGGACGAGTTGACCAGGGGACGAGTTGACCGGATTGCATTGATTTTAGGGTCATAAGGTCATACACCTCATATTACTTTTACTTAATTAAACCTTTTTGTTGTTAGCTAAAATGTCTATACATTGCATGTACATATTTCAGAAACTTATAATACAATGCGTGTAAAGGTTTACATAAGAAATACAGTTCTATCGATCATATCAGTAAAAGAAACAGTCACTCAGAATCGTGAATATGCGTAATTCTTTTCTGGAAATAATTAGTGGTTTATAACCTATGAGCTGCTTTTAAGCATTTTTCATGAGCGTGTAATTAAAACGTAATAAAGAGCGTTATATGCGAATGTTATTTTTTAGAGCATTATACGTTATTCAAGTACTTTTAAAGGTAAATTTTCCCAAAATATTAGATTTTAATCTTTGAGCAACTGAAAATGGAATATTTTCACCTTCGAAACATTTACATTCGACCCGCATTCGACCAGTCGGCTGTACACGTAATTTTCAACCAAGATGGTGACTTCCGAAAACTTGCTGCGTGACCGGTACACAAAGAATTGTTTTTCCTTTCTAAATAATATTTGTCACTCGCAATTCATTAGTTGTTTCAAGTCTAAGCTTTATATAAGATCAATCAGTCTGATTATATTGAAGTTAACCTCAAAATTTGCATAGAAAAAAGATGAAAAAAAAGATTTTTTCTATAATTTGTTTGAGTTTTGTCACAGACGCTTGTGGTTTGGAGCTCAAAACGCCTTTAAAATCCAAATAAAATGCATATTTGTCAATCCCAGGACATGTACTGATCATATATATCAAAAAATCTTAATATATGCCGTTTTGAAAAAAAATCATATTTCAACAACTATAATAATACACAAGATAAAAATGTTCGCCGGAAAAAATCCGCACCCCTACCGTCATAATCACCATGTATTTTAATCCATTTCCAATATTTTCACATAATCCTCCTTGGTCTATCGACACAGAAGATATAATTCTTCACGATGATGGATCAATTTTAAACTCATTCAACGGTAATATGAAACAACGCAAACAGCCGAAATAAACATCAATATTATCGCCGTTTTTTTCCAACGACAAAATCTTTCGATAAATTCAATGGACCAGACGGCTATGAACGAAGCTATCCGATTATGTGGCCCCCCCAGCTTTTGCCGTGTGCAAAATGCGCAGCGCTTTTAAGTTTGGGAACCACATAATCGGATAGCTTCGTTCATAGCCGTCTGGTCCATTGAATTTATCGAAAGATTTTGTCGTTGGAAAAAAAACGGCGATAATATTGATGTTTATTTCGGCTGTTGCGTTTGTTTATATTACCGTTGAAGTTTAAAATTGACCATCATCGTGAAGAATTATATCTTCTGTGTCGATGAGACCAAAGGATTATGTGAAAATATTGGAAATGGATTAAAATACATGGTGATTATGACGGTAGGGGTGCGGATTTTTTCCGGCGAACATTTTTATCTTGTGTATTATTATAGTTGTTGAAATATGATTTTTTTTCAAAACGGCATATATTAAGATTTTTTGATATATATGATCAGCACATGTCGTGGGATTGACAAATATGCATTTTATTTGGATTTTAAAGGCGTTTTGAGCTCCAAACCACAAGCGTCTGTGAGTTTTGTAACAAGGTAAAACTTAACACGGCTAAATTGATATTGCAGGTTTTTTTCTAGGATTTTGGGAACATGACCCATACCCATGGAATTGGGAATTTCATCGGTGTTTTGTTAAAAATTGGGGAAAATTGCATGACTTAAATTTTGCAGTGATAAAAATTATTAAAATGAATAGAAAATATATCGTGGACTAACCAGTTCTCAAACCTCTAAGCATTCAAGAGGTCTTTTAATTTAAGTAAAAATACATCTTTATAAAAATTCTTTACATATGTACACTTTAATCTTTATGTAACATTTCTGTAAAATTTGACTGAAATTCAACTATTAAAAAAGCTCTATTTCCATCTTGGAAAAGCACAACCCTCTGTTATAAAACTAACATGGCCTCTTAAAATAAAGAACCTAATCTCAAACCCCTCAAGTATCTCTAAAATTCTACTGTTAAGTTTAGCCTACAAAGTGATTGTTATATGCCTATCACATGACAATGAAGTACCCTACACGATGCAGTTACCTGCTTTAAGATATTTTTGTCTATAATATTCATTTTCACAAATAGTTAATGGTGTATTTATGGGACTTACAAAAGTAATAGCAATTTGTATGAAATAACGCTATGTAATAAAATATGTTATGTAAATATTTGTTCCTATGCACTGTTTTCATTTGACATCAGCAGACATGTCTGTCAGAAACTAAGCTTTTATGCACACAAGTTCAGGACATCATAGTCACTTCTAGTAAAAAAATAACAGCACATGAATGAAAGGTTTGAGAATAGGTTGGGTGTGAGATTAGGTACTTATACGATAACTGTCTGCAAAAATTTAAACACCATAACAGTGAAGAAGCCCGTTATTTTCAAAGATTTTAGAATTTGTTATTCAATATTTTATTTTGTACTTTTTCAATTGGGATTTTTTTCCTGTTGATTGGGAAAATAATATACTATTTTCAATTGGGAATATGACCGAATATCGTCTATAAAATAAGCCAAAAAAATCCCTGTATTGTGAATGGATGCTGATTATAATTTTTCATAATACAAATGAATCAGGCGTATAATAATATATTGGAATAGAAACCTGAAGTGTGTGATTTTCTAGTCATTTTTGGAAAAAGTACCAAGCAAAGTTTGGAAAATTTTGCATCTTAATACTGCTTAATATTACCAGTCTTCGAAATTAACTTTGTAACACCACCACAATGAATTCCGCGATCGAAAATGTGACTTGCCAGTTGGGCGAGTAGAATTGTATATTTTAGTCATCCAATATTTAAGGCAATTAAGCCTTAAAGCTAGCTATCCAAATTTTAATAATATGAATAAGGCAATTAAGCCTCACAGTGAGCTCTTTGACAGAAATTATAGTACATTAATATTGTAAGTTTGAATATAGAAATCAACGCCAGTTTCAATTTAAAAATGTAATTATTTTATTTGAAAAATATACAACGTTTCGACTCAAAAGTCTTCATCAGGTATACTTTGTTTACAGGAAATTACGTCGGTGTCATATGACATCAAGGACAACGACGTCAAAATGTAATACATAATTTGGCGTATAAATGTAATATGTAGGATCTTAATAAAAGATACAAAACACTGGTGAAGATGCAGTAAAAAGCAATTTGAAAGTAAAATTAGAAAACCAGCATAAACTACATATTGGCATGAAATTAGTTTTATGTCATTTTAAGCAAAAATAGAAAATACAATTTTTTATAAAAAAAATATTAAAATGAAGAATTATAATCTACAAAATTAATAAAGTATTTTTGAATTCATGCCATCAGGAATAATTGTACCTAGCTCATACATCCAGTTCATTAATATGAAATTAGCCTATACCTGTAGGATGATTGTTGGCTCTGATGGAAGAGCTAAGCCCTTTTTAAGCAAACTTTCGCCACTACTTCATATTAGTCTATCACTATCATGTTTATTCATATTCACTCAGTGTTTTTTTTCACTTTTGGGGAAAGGGGGTCGGTGCCCTTTGGAGGGGGAAAAATGCAACAGGATGGGGAATTTTATTTATTTACTTATTTTATATTGTTTTCTTTGGGGTGGAAAAGGGAAGCAACTCTTGCAACACATTTTTAAAATACGTCTCTTTTTCTTAATATACGGATCTAAAATATTGATGAATCGCATGTTAAATTTGTTGGGACGCCGGGACTAGCTCCCCTTACCTACCAGAGAACAATTTGTATACAACTTTGCTTAACAGTAACTCTTACAAGCATTAAATAAAGCATATTTCGGCAGTTAGTTGCAAAAAAAAAGAAGATATTTATTGCAGGCAAATTTGGGCTGCCATATAGGGGGAAATTTAGGCTTTGAGTGGGGGTAAAAACATACTATTTTGAGGGAATAATGGGGCCAAATTTCGCCGAATATTTTGGTGAAAAAAAAACACTGTCACTTATACATATTTCAGTTTACACTGCTGTATAATTTTATTTTAACAGAATGTTACAATAACATTTTAAACTTTATATTGATGTTCCTGTGTTGATCTAGCTTGATTTTAATTGTATAATTTAACACATCTTGTGTTTTCAATACACTTAGAACTGCACACTTTCGGCCCCACAATTCACTTGACACCATATTTTACCTTTTCCGTTTAAAAACTGCCATTTGGTATTTTATGCACTGCTTCTGTTTATCATAGTTCCCATAGAAGTGTGCAGGAGACCAGTCTACGTCTAAGTCCTCGGCTTTAATCGTTATCTTTTAATTTGAAAATTTGCTTTGTGTCAATGTCCCACAATTTTGCAGTTCTTCCGGCAAAACTATCACTTTGTAGCAGGTACTCGCATTGCCGTAAAGCTCGCTGAGCGAGCAGGCCCAAAGGGCGCTAGCTATTACTAGGTAAGGCGATCGGGCGAGTACTACTTTCGAAGACTGCATTACTATAAACTAATGTACAATAACAGCGATATTTTCCTTCTTTGATTGGGTCCAGTAAACAGTCCCTTCCCAATTGAAAATACAGATATTTTTTCCCAATACTAAACAAAAATAATACCAATTATATCCGCTTTAGATATCATTAATCTATCTCTGGGAATTACTCAATTAAAAAAATAAATTCTAAAACGTGCCATTGGAACATGTTTGTATAGTAACAATAAGATAAATTCCACTGAATCAATTTTCGTGACCATTGTAAAGATCTGCCAAGGATGCTATTTTGTGCTGAAATGGGGAAGGCATATCTAAAATCTATGTTGAACTTGTAGTTGCATGAAAACAAAACCTGTTTATTTGTAGGTTATTTAGTCATCCTGTCAAAACTGGTACGAAATGGGACAGGTTTTATACTGATATCGCAAATTCTCTCTTAATATAAAAAACATGAAGAGATACCACTATAACTATTGGAATTTGTTAGCGTGTTAATTATTAAAATAATGCAAAATATGGATAGTTGCTCTTCTAATTCATGTAGATAACAAATAATGGTCAATTTCTTTTTCATTTGAAAATTTACTAAATTTAAAATATTCTAATTTTTCAGGTTAGGTTGGAGGAGGATGTTTGTGGTGACAGTGTTAGTGCTACTGTCAGTTACAAGTGTAATCTCTGTGAATAGAGACAACTTTAAAACATGCGACCAGAGTGGTTTTTGCAAGTATGTATATTGTTCAAACAAATTTACTCTTATTCCTGTTTCCAGTTTTCTTCAGATGCAAAATTGTGTTGCTGACCCTGAACATTTTCATGAATGTACAGTAACTGTGTATGAAAAATCCTTTTTCATCTGCAACATAGGCAATACAATCTTTTTCCTCAATCTGTGTAACAAATGAGTATTCAATACATAGATTTTACCAGGGTTTTAAAATGCATGTATTTTTGAACAAGCAATAAGAAGTAAATGAGATATTTAAATGACCTTTTAAGATAAAATGTAGTCATGTTGTAGAAGATGCCAATGTTTCATGCCCTTAAATGTATCTCATCTTAATTTTAGGCGTCATAGGGCAATGCAACCAGGGTCCAGTCCTTATGTTGTCTTAATGGACACTTTAAAAGTGATGGGAACCAGTGTAGAAGTTCAGCTGGTAAATAGAAAGAACAATATAAGGCTATTACTACAAGTGTCTGCAGTAAAAGATAACTCTGCCAGAGTGAAAATAAATGAGATGGATCCAATCAAAAAGAGATATGAAATTCCTGTAGGAGATGCTCTAGTTGGGGAACCAAAACTACAAGAGTAAGAATTTTTTTATTAGCTCACCTGACCACGAAGTGGTCAAGGTGAGGTATAGTGATGGGGCTATGTCCGGCGTCCGTCGTCGTGCGTTGTGCGTCGTGTGTCGTGCGTCGTCAACAATTGGGTTATTAACAGTCTAGCAGTCACAGTTTTGATTGGATCATCAAACTTTGTCAGAATGTTTGTCTCAATGAAATACAGATCGAGTTCGAAGATGGGTTATCTCGGGTCAAAAACTAGGTCACAGGAGCTAAAAATAGAAAAAGCTTGTTAACACTCTAGAGGCTGCAGTTTTCATCCAAATATTCTGGAAATTTGTCAGGAAGGTTGTTTTAATGATATCTAGGTCAAGTTTGAAGATGGGTCATCTCCGGTCAAAAACTAGATCACAGGAGCTAAAAATAGAAAAAAGCTTGTTAACACTCTTAACAATTGGGTTGTTAGCAGTCTAGCAGTCACAGTTTTGATTGGATCATCATCAAACTTTGTCAGAATGTTTTGTCTCAATGAAATACAGATCGAGTTCGAAGATGGGTTATCTCGGGTCAAAAACTAGGTCACAGGAGCTAAAAATAGAAAAAGCTTGTTAACACTCTCTAGAGGCTGCAGTTTTCATCCAAATATTCTGGAAATTTGTCAGGAAGGTTGTTTTAATGATATCTAGGTCAAGTTCAAAGATGGTCCATCTCCGGTCAAAACCTAGGTCACAGGAGCTAAAAATAGAAAAAGCTTGTTAACACTCTAGTGGCTGCAGTTTTCATCCAAATATTCTGGAAATTTGTCAGGAAGGTTGTTTTGATGATATCTAGGTCAAGTTCGAAGATGGGTCATCTCCGGTCAAAAACTAGGTCACAGGAGCTAAAAATAGAAAAAGCTTGTTAACACTCTAGGGGCTGCAGTTTTCATCCAAATATTCTGGAAATTTGTCAGGAAGGTTGTTTTGATGATATCTAGGTCGAGTTTGAAGATGGGTCATGTCCGGTCAAAAACTAGGTCACAGGAGCTAAAAATAGAAAAAGCTTGTTAACACTCTAGTGGCTGCAGTTTTCATCTAAATATTCTGGAAATTTGTCGAGAATGTTGTTTTGATGATATCTAAGTCAAGTGTGCAGGTGGGTCATGTCGGGTCAAATACTAGGTCACAGGAGCTAAAAATAAAAAAAGCTTGTTAACACTCTAGGGGCTGCAGTTTTCATCCAAATATTTTGGAAATTTGTCAGGAAGGTTGTTTTGATGATTTCTAGGTCAAGTTTGAAGATGGGATATCTCCGGTCTAAAACAAGGTCACAGGAGCTAAAAATAGAAAAAGCTTGTTAACACTAGTGGCTGCAGTTTTGATTCAAATATTCTGGAAATTTGTCAGGAAGGTTGTTTTGATGATTTCTAGGTCAAGTTCGAAGATGGGTCATGTCTGGTCAAAAACTAGGTCACAGGAGCTAAAAATAGAAAAATCTTGTTAACACTCTAATGGTTGCAGTTTTCATCCAAACATTCTGGAAAATATTCAGGAAGGCTGTTTTGATGATTTCTAGGTCAAGTTCAAAGATGGGTCATCTCAGGTCAAAAACTAGGTCACAGGAGCTAAAAAGAAAAAAAAGCTTGTTAACACTCTAGAGGCTGCAGTTTTCATCTAAATATTCTGGAAATTTGTCAAGAAGGTTGTTTTGATGATATCTAAGCCAAGGTTGAAGATTGGTCATCTTCGGTCAAAAACTAGGTCACAGGGGCTAAAAATAGAAAAAGTTTGTTAACACTCTAGAGGCTGCAGTATTGATTCAAATATTCTGGAAATTTGTCAAGGAAGGTTGTTTTGATGATTTTCTGGGTCAAGTTCGAAGATGGGTCATCTCATGTCAAAAACTAGGTCACAGGAGCTAAAAATAGAAAAAGCTTGTTTACACTATAGTGGCTGCAGTTTTGATTCCAATATTCTGGAAATTTGTCAGGAAGGTTGTTTTGATGATTTCTGGGTCAAGTGCTAAGATTGGTCATGTCCGGTTAAAAACTAGGTCACAGGAGCTAAAAATAGAAAAAAATCTTTTTTTAACACTCTAGTGGCTGCAGTTTGATCCAAATTCTTGGAAATTGGTCAGGAAGGTTGTTTGATGATTTCTAGGTCAAGTTTTAATATGGGTCGTGTGCGGTCAAAAATTACGGTCACATTGCCCAAATATGAAAAAATCTTTATAACACACAAGTCACAGTTTTACTTATTTTTCATCAAACTTGGGCCCTGATGTTTTTTAAGACAATTTCTTGGGTGCGGTTGTGTCAGGTGAGCAATCCAGGGCCATCATGGCCCTCTTGTATTTTGATAGAACAGAAAAAAAATTTCAAAGGAAAATGAAAATTATTTCATGTCATATAACCTGTAAAATGTTGTTAGTACAGCAGCAATGAAAGTTGTATTCTAAGTAAAGATAGTGTTTATATGGTTATCTGATGTGAACATTTCATATATTTTCCAAAATACAAAATGTACCTAAACTTAATAAACTGATTTTGATGGTTTCTATGAAAAGAAGGGTCATTAATAATTCACAACTCGTATTGATAACTATCTGCTCTCACTTGAGAAAATGTACAGGTTTGTTTGATATAAAATTTTAATGTGAAATTTTATTTCAGCATGAAGGTTTTAGACAGATCAGATAAAAGTATAACTCTAGGTTTTGAGGATAACAAGATATTGATCTCAAGTGAACCATTTAGAATTGACTTTATAAATAAAGAAGAGCCTATCATCAGTATAAATACACAAGCATTGCTCAAGTTTGAACACTACAGGAAAAAAGATTCCCCGCAGTAAGTACTTTCATAACACAATTACATTACCATTTGAGAATGTATATATTTGTAGCACATAAGTTTATTCAAGAAGAACAGTAAAGTGTAAGGAGCATGTTTCACTTTGATATTAAAAACTTTCTTGTTGTTACACTAGAAACAGTGACATTTTTAGCTGTTACTATTAATGCTTGAAAGTAATTATACCCCCACCACAAAATGTGGGATGGGGGGGGCTATAATGGATTCGCTTTGTCGCGTCGGTCGGTCGGTCGGTTATGTCTCCAAATTATGTGTCCGCTCTATATATCCTATACCAATTGAAGGATTTTCTTCAAACTTGGCTCAAATGTTCACCTCAACAAGGGGATGTGCAAAATCCATGTTGCTCATGTGTCAGCTCAAGGTCAAGGTCACAATTATAGGTCAAATATCAAACACAATCAAATATTAGACAGTATGTCGTGTCCGCTCTGTAAGTCCTACACTAATTGAAAGATTTTCTTCAAACTTGGCTCAAATGTTCACCTCAACAAGGGGATGTGCAGAACCCATGTTGCCCATGTGTCAGCTCAAGGTCAAGGTCACAATTGAAGGTCAAATATCAAACAATCAAATATTACACAGTATGTCGTGTCCGCTCTGTAAGTCCTACACTAATTGAAAGATTTTCTTCAAACTTGGCTCAAATGTTCACCTTAACAAGGGGATGTGCAGAACCCATGATGCCCATGTGTTAGCTCAAGGTCAAGGTCACAATTGAAGGTCAAATGTCAAAAATTGACTTATAAATTGTTTAGTACATTGGGAAAATGAAAGGTTATTTGTAACTGTTTCAAACATGATTTGATAATATATATTTATACTATTACCTGTACAATTAGTCTTTTTTTCACCAGAGATAATTTCTTTTTAAATGTATTTGTGCCACTTAAGTTATTCCCTTAACCACCTTTCCAAGTTGTCTTCTGTCAAGGACATTGGTGGGGGTATGAATCGCATTCAGCAATAGTTCTAGTTTATCGTGTTTAAGAAATATCAGGGGTTTGATGTCTGTTCACACTGTTAGTTTAACTTTGACTTGATTTTGAGGTAGTTTCAAGCTTATGCATTTTAGTTAGTTCTCTAAGAGAAATCTTGTGGTTATATGATTGTAACTGCAGTAGTAAGGCTCCAACTTTCGTGAATTGTGTTGCAGACAAATAAACTCTGGGCGATTTTTATCCTTAAATATTGCATTAACAAGTGAAAAACCCTTGGTTTTTAGTCAGGTATGTTATCTTAAAAAAACAGTTTTGTTGATAAATACATTTAAAGATTAAATATGACTTACTAAAGTTTTTGATAAAAAAGAAATTTTGTGAGCAATCCAGAGTTATCATTGCCCTCATGGTTTTTGTTGATCTCCATATTTTATGATTTATTGCAACTGAAATGTAAGTGTTCTGAAAAACTAAACTTCATACTTGAAGCCATTTTGAATAGAAACAATGGATAAATGATCTGAATAGGAATAATACACCTCAAATAATTCACGTCAAAAGGCTGAAATAATATTCCTTGAATAACAATCTTCAACTCACCTATTACATGTATTGTAATGTAAAATTCTGTTGCATGAAATTAAACCATTCTTGACAGCTAATAGTCTTCATAAAGCATGTCCATATATCATTGTTTGAAACTGGAGAAAAACATTTTCATATTTTGCTTTATAATGAGTTAAAATGTTCTGTTTTCCCCATTGGCTTATAAATTATTTTAGTACTTTTGATGACAATTTTTATTCCTCTAATTTTATTGCTATTTAAAAGATGAATTCTGCATTGTAATCAGGTTGGTTTATGTAAAGATTTTATGTATTGTTAAGTTATATTTTGTTTTGTTGGAAGAGCTTTATTGTAATGAGCTTATGCCTGCATTGTTGACTGTCTAATAAGCCTGTTGGTTCTTATTTGCTTTTAGCTTTGATGATTTACAATGAAGATTATAGTGAAACTGATACTGTAAAGGATTAAGGTTCAAAGATGAACAATGTTTGAGCTCACATTAAGTGTCAGAATTTAATTTTAGATATTTCATAAAGCTGTATTAAAAGTTTTAAGCAAAATTCTATTTTGTCAAGTCAATAAACTAACACCTTCAATTTTCCATTTCTTAGCATAAAAGTTGAAATTGATCTTCTCAATAAATGTCAAGCTAATCACAAGGTCAGATTGTCCATATTTTAATGATATATTTTGTTCCTTACTAAATTTGATGGTTTTTTGAAAGGTGATATTTTTGTCTTCTTGTTTAGTCACCTGTTATTAAAATTCATGAAGTACATGTATTTATCATAAATACCCTGTATTTTCTCCCTGTGTTTGTTACATTTGTATGTCAATGTTATACTTTATACTAGTATTAAACAATTCATCACAGGAATATTTTGTTAGTTTGAACATTCCTATACAACAGAAAATTGCAAATTCATCATAAAGCTATAGAACAATGTGTTTGCTATATATAACATTGAAGTTATAGATGATGTAATGACATTAGGAGATTTTGTTGTATGACAAGGTGAAATGTGTCTCCTATAAGTGAGATATGATCATGATGAATGGTATAGAAAATCAATATAATATTGGGGGTTGCTAATGGTTTTACTAAGTGGTCGAAATATCTGCACTTATAAATGATGCATGCTTTTACCAGTGTAAATAAATACCATAAATAAACGTTCATTTAAAGTGGAACATTTTAATACTGATTTCAGGAGTATTCTAGATTTATAACTAGAAGTTTTAATAACTAGAACTTGTGTTACATGTAAAAAGAAAAAAATTGGTATTTGATTTGTATAGTTTTTACAATTTGGGAACCTAATAACTTGAAATTAGCCATTTTAATTGATACTTGAAAGTTAATGTTAACATTAATCATCCTACTGAAATTAAAGGTTAATTAAATGTTAACCCTTTTACTTCAACACTTTACAAGTAATGTTACTCCAAATTACAGCAACTCCTGTTATTTTGTGACATTGTAAAATTTGTTTATCTTTAAAAAAAAATTCAGAATATGGAATAGTTAGATAGGTAACATAATATACAAAAATGAACTATTGACATGCAATGATGTCTATAATATACAGTATAAATACTAACCTGCTAATATTTCTCTACCTGTATCTGACAGTCAAAACTTATTTAAGTAAGTATAGTAAAGTGGAAAGTAAAGTAATAAGTAAATTAAGTAATGACCTTATAGAGGCTACGTATTTATTTTCCCAATCTTCCATGTGGTCTTCTAACTTAAATGATATCTTAAAAAACCATTTCATAAAATCTACACATGGTAATGTTACAACAGGATCTAACTAATATTGGTTATCAGGAATAATTCAGAAACTGAGTCAGAAACAAGGATATTCAGCAACTTTCCTCAGTTTTAACAATTTTCAATACAATTATAATTATCAGCTCTGTGTATTACTTGAGGTAACATAGAACATTTCAGAAAAAATGTTAACACAGATGTATATCAAATAATTGTTGTTGGCAATGTATTATTTAATTGATCTATATAAATATATTAAATGTTATATGTTCAGGAAGAGATGGTGAAGGGTTTTATGTTGTATATATTTGTTGTTCATGTACTTTCAGCACCCATACAAACCTATCAATTCCTTTGCTTGTTATAATCAGATATCAACACCTGGATATAGCATGACAATTTCACAATGTGTGTGTGTATAAAAATTACGTTATTGTACAAATCATAATAAGATTGAAAACTACACAGTGAGATTTTATATCAGATACTTAACATGTATCATTGTTTAATCTAGATTCTAAAACAATAACTTAAGAGATACAAACTGTTACAGTTTCGCTTAACATCCAAATTGACTGCTAACAATTGTTCAAAAACAGATGTTTACCATTTCTTTTCTATCAGACAATTACAGTGTTGTACTAGAAGAGCTTTTGCTTGTTTTGCTTTATTTTGTTTGCAAGATATTTTGAAGTTTATGTTCATTAACCTGCATTTCTAAACTTGTTATGTTGCTTTTTTAATTTGATGAAAAAGTTGTTTTGTTATTTTAATTGTTTTGCTTTACATTTTGCCTCATCAAATCTTTGGCTTTTTGACTGAAAGTTTAATTTTTGTGTTATGATTTGTCCTACAATGATATTTCATGTGTTGTACATGTGTGTCTAGGTGTAGGTAGCTTGGAATTGATTGGTTTGTTTGTAGGGGCTGGATAGAGGGTGTAACCTCTTGGTTTTCCGACCGTTTCAGAGCTGAGGAACAAGCGCCACCTGGTGAGGAGGGAGAAAACAAAGAAGATGAAGAGAAGAAGGTATGTTACACTTTTCTATAAAACTAAAATAAATTTGTATTGAAAATTTTAGATATTTATTGATAACATAACACTTATGTAATAAGTATGTGATCTTTTGATTATCTGTTATATCAAACATACCTTTAGCTAACCTTTTGTCAGTACATGTATTTAAGTATATGTATTTAGTGTGATAATACCCATTCTTGTTAAATCTGACCTGATTGACCCTTACAGTACTGACCGTTACATAACATGATTGATCCTTTCATGCTTGTAGGAAGATTGCTTTTGTAAATTAGGCAGCAATTATTGTCACAGTTAAAAATATTTAAAAAATATTTTAGAGACTTGAAGGTCAATATTAAATGATTACTAATACAATTACATGTGTGGTAACAACATAGGTCAAAGACAAATATTTAATATTTACCAACACTTAAAATAGTATTATGATAAAAGACATGAACGTCAAAGGTCAGAAGTAATTGATTATCATTACAAACACTTAAAAATTGCAATTATCTGTCTTACTCTACCATTTTCCGCTCATTAAAGTTGATGCAGATCTTGTACAAATGAAAATGCTGGTCATAATTATATCTATGAAGTTTATTTTTTAATTACTTTTAGAGATTATAATGTTGATGCATTTATTGCTGGCAATTATTAAATCTATGCATATTTATTCTGTAACATTCAGGAAGAAGAAAATGTAGAGGAAGAAAAGAAGGAAGAACATAAGGAAGAAGAAGAACCGTCAATGTGGGAGGAGACTTATAAAAGCTTTCCTGACTCGAAACCACATGGTAAAGTTTTTCTCAATCTGTGCCAGGTTAACAGCTGTTAAATTAAGATAAACTTATTGATTGATACATGTATATTATGGTGACATATTTTTATTTATGATAATTTGATTCATATCATAATTGTAGTATAATAATCAGTTTATTGGTAGTATGCTATATAATGCAATAAAAATGCTGTCAAATGTAAGATAAAAGAGTTTTACAATAGGGCACAGATGTTCTCATAAACTCTGCTTTATGTGAGATGTATAATTATAAGACAATCATGTAGTAGAAAATTCTAACGGACATTTAATGCATTAGTTTATATTCAGCATAGCTATTGCATTTAGCTAACTTATAAACTTATGTTATCAATTTGTTAGAATTAAATAAAATAAAAAAAAACAACAAAAAACAAAACAAAAAAACTGAATAATGTTTTTGTTGTTTAATAATGTATTTTTAATATAGTTTGCAATCAAACAACAAAAAGTGATTCCTGAAATAAAACTGAATGAATATATATTTAATGGTATATAAATATTATATTTACAGGACCATCATCTGTTGGTGTAGATATATCATTTCCCGGGTTTGAACATGTTTATGGTATACCTGAACATGCTGACTCGATGGCTCTCAAAACTACAAAGTAAAATCATTATTATAATACCTGTTCATTCCATCATTAATATGATATACAGTAAAAATTGATTTGTATAAAAACAAGTCTTGAAAATTATTGACTTTTCAGTATGTAGTGCTGAACAAAGTATAAATGCAAAAGTCCATAATTAGGATGTACACTATAAAGTGATTAACATATTTGATACACATGCTATTTGATAATGGTTTGTTTTTCTACAAATGTCCAGTAAGATTATACATTTTTATTTTAGCTTGATTGCAAACAAGTTCTTGCAATATATTTATATTATATATTACAGGAGTACAGATCCTTACAGATTGTTTAACTTGGATGTGTTTGAATATGAGCTGTATAATCCCATGGCATTGTATGGTTCCGTTCCTGTGATGCTGGCACACAAGTAAATTTATTACATCTTCGTTTTTACATTTCATAATATGTGAAACATACACAATAGGATAATTGGATCAAAAACCAACACAAATTAAGTATCAAAACATGTTTCGCTTTATTAAGCTTCCTCAGTTGATACATATCACATACACAATGTAATAATTATAGGGCTTATTTTAACAGTTAATCTTATGTAACAGCAATTTGTGTAAAAAAACCTGAGTAGGCGTATTTGAATGAAGATTTAATTTGTATTTAAAGCATAGTAAAGGGAATATAAATCCCATTCAGTGATAACTTCAATTTTCAGTATGCTAATATGTTGACAGATGATTCCAAAAAACATACCACTGTTAAGTAGCAGATATGCCAAATGCTAATGTAAAATCATCAAACTAGTATAGTTACACCATAATTATTATAAGAATTTATCAAGCATTTAGCTACATGTATATATGTTACAGTGAGAAGAGAACTGTGGGTATATTTTGGCACAATGCTGCAGAGACCTGGATTGATATAAGTTCAAACACAGCTGATAAGGTGAGTCGTATGTGACATATAACTGACATTTATATACGTACATCTACCTTCCAGTGAACTTAATTCTGTAGTTATCTGAATAAGTTAACACTTTCTCATCTCTGCTTGAATTTAAATCAATAATAGTTTATCGAAGTTAAATTATTGAAATATATAACAGATTAATGTATAACAATTATAGACTTTTAGCTGTTGTTACAGGAAAGCTACATGTCTGTTATCAATATCTCCATAATATACTATACATGTATATTAATATTTGCTGTATGCTGTATTATAAATAGAGGACATTGAATGTACTGAATTTATTGAACGAGTTGAATAGAATTATATTTTATGAGACTCTTGCGAGCATTATATTACTTTATTCAACAAGTTTAATAAATTCAGTAATAAACCTACACAAATATAATATTCTATTTAACACATACCTAAAATAAAGACTGTTTAAAGTGAAAAAGAATCATTTTTTTCACTGACACCCGTATATTGTAGGCGCCTTTACACTATGTTTGTATAACACAAATGCCTTACGTCAAAATATATGCACGGCCATGCAATACCATTTTTAATGAGTTGCAAAATCAGCATGGGTGTGTGATAAACTTTTTATACCCCCACAAACGAAGTTTAGGGGGGTATATAGGAGTCAGCTTGTCGGTCGGTCGGTTGGTCGGTCCGTCGGTCGGTCCACATCATGGTTTCCGGACAATAACTAGAGTTTGGAATGAGGTATTGTAATCAAACTTGGTATATAGCAACCTTATGTGGAAACTCTGGTTGGTATTGCATTTGGACCCCCTGGGGTCAAGGTCAAGGTCACCGTTACTAAAAATAGAAAAATGGTTTCCGGACAATAACTAGAGTTAGGAATGAGATATTGTTATCAAACTTGGCGTATAGCAAGCTTATATGAAGAACTGGGTTGGTATTGCATTTGGGCCCTCTGGGGTCAAGGTCACTGTTACTAAAAATAGAAAAATGGTTTCCGGACAATAACTTGACTTAGGAATGACATACTGTAATCAAACTTGGTGTATAGCAAGCTTATATGAAGACCTGGGCTGGTATTGCATTTGGACCCCCTGGGGTCAAGGTCAAGGTCACCGTTAGGAAAAATAGACAAATGGTTTCCGGACAATAACTAGAGTTAGGAATGAGATATTGTAATCTAATTTGGTGTAAAGGAAGCTTATATGAAGACCTGGGTTGGTATTGCATTTGGACCCCCTAGGGTCAAGGTCACCGTTACAGTGTTACTAAAAATAGAAAAATGGTTTCCGGACAATAACTAGAGTTAGGAATGAGATATTGTTATCAAACTTGGCGTATAGCAAGCTTATATGAAGACCTGGGTTGGTATTGCATTTGGGCCCTCTGGGGTCAAGGTCAAGGTCACTGTTACTAAAAATAGAAAAATGGTTTCCGGACAATAACTTGACTTAGGAATGACATACTGTAATCAAACTTGTTGTTTAGCAAGCTTATATGAAGACCTGGGTTGGTATTGCATTTGGACCCCCTAGGGTCAAGGTCAAGGTCACCGTTAGGAAAAATAGACAAATGGTTTCCGGACAATAACTAGAGTTAGGAATGAGATATTGTAATCTAATTTTGTGTAAAGGAAGCTTATATGAAGACCTGGGTTGTTATTGCATTTGGACCCCCTAGGGTCAAGGTCACCGTTACAGTGTTACTAAAAATAGAAAAATGGTTTCCGGACAATAACAAGAGTTAGGAATGAGATATTGTTATCAAACTTGGCGTATAGCAAGCCTATATGAAGACTTTGGTTGGTATTGCATTTGGGCCCCCTGGGGTCAAGGTCAAGGTCACCGTTACGAAAGATGGTGTTCAAACAATAACTAGAGTTAGGAATGAGATATTGTAATCTTATTTGGTGTATAGGAAGCTTATATGAAGACCTGGGTTGGTATTGCATTTGGACCCCCTAGTGTCAAGGTCACTGTTACAGTGTTACTAAAAATAGAAAAAATGGTTTCCTGACAATAACTAGAGTTAGGAATGAGATATTGTAATCAAACCTGGTGTATAGCAAGCTTATTTCGAGACCCCAGTTGCGATTACAATTAATTGAAATATTTCTTTGTACACAGTTGATAGTTTGTGTTCAAATTTTTCTTCAGACTACTTTTTTTTCAAAAAGTCAAAGTTGTTGGTAGTTTGTGTTCAAATTTTTCTTCAGACTACTTTTTTTTCAAAAAGTCAAAGTTGTTGGTGGGGGTATTAATCACCTTTAGTGATAGGTCTAGTTTATGTAAGAGAAGAAGGATTTTTTTCTTTCTTCATGTAAGAGAAGAAGGTTTCTTTCCTTTCTTTATGTAGAGAAAAAGGATTTGTTTCTTCTTTTCTGAACAATTTTAGATATAAGTATAATTTTAACAACTCTTATGTGAATCTTATTCCTGGTATGCAAGGGAAAAAAACTTATCAGTATTTTAAGTCATGTTTTTTATACCATAGATTTTTTAGTTTTCCTTCATGAATAATTCTAAATTATATCTTGAATAGTAAGATTATTGAAATGAAATATATCTCTTTACTCAATCAAATTCTGCCTGTACTTGAATAACTGATGAATTAGTGGCCTTTATTTATTGTTTCATAAATAACAAGTTTTAATGATACAATAGGATTTTTATGCCCCCGCCATATAATGGCCGGGGCATATAGTTTACCCTCTCCATCATTCCGTCCTTCCGTCATTCTGTCATTCCGTCATTCTGTCATTCTGTCATCATCAGTTTCCGTTCATTATCTCCCCAACGGTACAACACATTCAACTCAAACGTGACATAAGGATATGTCATGAGAAAATACAGGTCAAGTTCGAATTTGGTCATGGTTTGATGGTTTTTGAAAATAATATGAAAAGTTCTGTTTACGTTCTTTATCTCCCCAACGGTACAACACATTCAACTCAAACTTGACATATGGATATGTCATGAGAAAATACAGGTCAAGTTCGAATTTGGTCATGGTTCGATGATTTTTGGCAGAGTTATGCCCCTTTTACTTTGAAAATAATATGAAATTTTCAGTTTCTGTCATTATCTCCCCAACGGTACAACACATTCAACTCAAATTTGACATATGGATATGTCATGAGAAAATACAGGTCAAGTTCGAATTTGGTCATGGTTCGATGATTTTTGGCAGAGTTATGCCCCTTTTACTTTGAAAATAATATGAAATTTTCAGTTTCCGTTCATTATCTCCCCAACGGTACAACACATTCAACTCAAATTTGACATATGGATATGTTTCTGGAATGCCCAGGCCAATTTCGAATTTGGTCATGGTTCAATGATTTTTGGCAGAGTAATGCCCCTTTCACTTTGAAAATAATATGAAATAATATGAAATTTACAGTTTCTGTTCATTATCTAACCAACAGTGTTACATATTCAACTCAAATTTGACATATGGATATGTCAAAGGAATGGGCAGGTCAAGTTGGAATTTGGTCATGGTTCGATGATTTTTTGGCAGAGTTATGTCCCTTTCACTTTGAAAATAATATAGATACGTCTTAGGAATAAGCAGTTTAAGTTTGAATTTGGTCATGGTTTAATGATTTTGGACAACCTTATCTTTCTTGAATATTGGAAATTTTTTGAACTTTTTGTTTCAGCACTCATACTTTTGTGGAAATGTATGTATAGCCATTATTTTGGCTACAAATATGAAATATGCTATTTTCAAAAGGTTAAGACTGAATAATTTCAGTGCCTTGAATATTGTATGAAAATGGTTTGTGTTAACACTGAAAAGTTTAAAGGGCTTTGAACTTAAAATGAAACAATAATTTGTGCAAACAAATTTGGAACTAAATATTATAACATCTGAAATTTTGGCTGCATGCGGGGGCATCCGTGGCATGATGACACATTTCTAGTTCTTAACATTGATAGTTAAATATTTATTATCATACTATACATTGTATATATTTATCAAATATATTGATATTTGCAGACAGATGATGATAAGGTGTTGAATTTTTGTTACACTTTTACAATAAACAGAGACAAATAAAAATCATCTGAATGTTTATCTTAAGAATGGATCTCAGTGGTTGTTGTTAAGGAATGGGAGGGAATTGAATGAAAATCAATATAATTGAATCAAAATTTTATTTATTTGTCTCTTACATCGTTTATTTGAGGGTTTGAGATATTAGTTTAAAAACAGTTATCTGTGATTATTTTTGATTCAGTTTGTTTAGTTTTTTATACCAGTTTGGTCAGTTAATGCCTCTTCATGCATCATTCAGTAAGAATTGTTAACTAGGTTAGGTAGTTAAGTGAGGGTTAAGTGCTTGTTTTAAAAATGTTTGATGTTATGGGAGAATGTGTTGGTGGGTTTGATGTTGTAACTATACAAGTATTTGTTTAAGGGTTATAATTACATTACCACCAAGTCTTAATACATCAGTTTAAGGTAAATACAGAAGAAGTTGCTGTATCAGCAATGTGCCCATGTAGATTGAGATTGTTTTAAATAAATGTTTTAGTTTCATACAGAAAAAAGGAACAAATGTTAAACCTAAAATAACTAACCAATTTAAAGGAACTCCACCGAGGTCCAAAACGCAAAATTTGAACTTCTTACATAGATCAGCTTGGGAACATAAAATAGAATGATATGAGCCGTGTCACGACAAAACCAACATAATGGGTTTGCGACTAGCATGGATCCGCGCAGTCTGATCAGGATCCATGCTGTTCGCTATCAGTTTTTCTACTTGTAATAGAGTTCAACCAAGGAAATATAAATTAACGAGTAATACACGTCAACACCAGAGCAAGTTTACAATATTTTATTTGTGTCTACTAGTTTCGGTCTATACGACCTTCATCAGGACAATTTTAATAAAAATTTTGTCTCTTAAGGTGGTAAAAAAACGGCTACGTTATATGACGTATGTTACTAAATATAGATCAATTGTTACTAAAAATAGAGTCAATATTGGCAATATG